TTTTCTCCAGATTTTTCTCTAACAAGGTTTTCATTCTCGTTCTTTAAATCTGCCACATCTTGACAAATAAGTGAATTTCTTCAGACCTTCAGTTTTTCTTTTACTGTTTTCTCCAATTGATTAGACCTTTTGTCGATTTTTTGCAGTCAATATACAAATGTTTTTTTTTGTAGTTCACAATGTGGCTTATTTCCTCATTTTTAGATTTCTTAGGAGGAGGAGGAGGATGTTTCACTGACATGTTAGGGGCAGAGTCACATTCACCACCTTCAGCGGCTTTGCAAACACATGAGTACTGAGTAATTACTGAGTAACGCATTTATCTGATTTCAATCTCCAGGCGTCTGCAGGAGCGGGAGAGAATCGGGGAGCTGGGGTGTCCAGAGGTCTGGGGTTTTTCCCCAAGAGTCCGGGAACCTGAGTAAGTAGACGCTTGTTTATAAACATGTAAATACGATATTAAAAACATGAAGAAAGTGGTGATGAGTTGTTTTTTGCAAAGTGGGTTCTGTGCAGTGAGGGACAGCGCGTGTGGGAATCAGCAGTATTGTGAATTTCACTGGTGTTTGCAGGTATTTCATTGTCGTCATTGTTTTTCTTTGTAGTTCGGATGAGCACACTCCCGTGGAGGAGATAAAAGGCGGCAGCTCCGATTCAAGCTCAGAAGGTTAGTCTGAGACATCAGGGGCTGTGTTGGTTTCTGGGCCGTGCTGTAAGCAGACTTGTGGTGCGGCTTTGACAAATTTCTGGCCGGACCCTCAATTCCAGAGCATCCCTGGTAGAGTAACTGAAACCCATGCATCATTGTAGATGAGAAGAAAAAGAAGAAGAAAAAGAAGAAGAAGAGGTCCAAGAAGAAGAAGCACAGGAAGAACTCTGAAGACAGCGAGTTAGAGAGTGACTCTGATGGTACTTTGACCACTGCCCAGTCACTGCTTAAGACCCAGCAATCTCTCTGGTCTACTAATGTCTGTGTTTTTGTTTTGTAGAAGAGGAAATGAAAAAGAAAAAGAAGAAGAAGAAAGGCAAAAAGTAAGCTCAGCCTTTGCTGTCCGCAGTAACTCATTTACATACATCTTAACAACCTTGACTTTACCGTTCCTGCCATGACCTTTGCCCTCCAGGAAGAAGTCCAAGAAGAAGAAGAGCAGAAAGAGCCATAAGCCATCCAGCGACTCCAGCAGTGATGGCTCCGAAGAGGAAGAGGACGACGACCTGGATGGGGAATTGTGGGTTGAGAGAACTTGCACAGAGGGACACCTGGTGGGACCAGAGGCTCCACTGACGCACCTTTCACAAGATGACAAACCCCTCGAGTGAGTAACTTCTGCTGGAGGAAGTGCTCCGCTTGGCCCAGGGATGCCCTCTCTCTTTCTTCCTTTTTACAGCCCATAATGCACTGTGTCAGTGCTTCTGTAGCTGATGGGAACGTTTGCTGTTGTGTTGCCAGCTTCGGCCACGCTCTGCTGCCTGGAGAGGGCGCAGCCATGGCCGAGTACGTGAAGGCTGGCAAGCGAATCCCCAGAAGAGGTGAAATCGGGCTGACCAGTGACCAGATCGCCGACTTTGAGAAATCTGGCTTTGTCATGAGCGGCAGCAGGTACAGAAGCCCGTCGGAACCTCATTTATCACTGTGCCGTTGAAGGCGCGGAGGTGTGAATCATGACATGAGCACTGGAAATGGGTAGGGTAAACCAAATATAGGGTGTTATAACAGGGGGTGACTTTCATTTGGCCCGTAACTCTGTTACTGTCCCCCCCACACACAGACATCGGCGCATGGAGGCTGTGCGTCTGAGAAAGGAGAACCAGATCTACAGCGCAGATGAAAAGAGGGCCCTAGCCTCCTTCAACCAGGAGGAGCGCAGGAAGAGGGAGAGCAAGATCCTGTCCAGCTTTCGGGAGATGGTCTACAGGAAGACTAAGGGCAAAGAGGAGAAGTGAGCCCACAGTTCAGTGGAGTCTGTGTAAATATTTATTGAAAATGAGTCGTGTTTTCTTCAGCATTTTGAGATGCTGGATCGTGTTTTCTGAGCGTCCACTTGGCATGCCTTGGTCTCCATGGTTAACAGAAGAAACCACTTGGACTAAAGCTCTTAAGTGAAATGGGCAGGATAACTTTGACTGGCCTAGCAAGACGTCCAGTACAGAAAACGGGAGTATGTAGAGTTGACATTTTTATTTTTGGGTTTCTTCGTTTATTTCTTCTTGTTTTTTGGAGAAGGTTTGCTGCTGAGGGCTACATGAGTAATAAAAGGACACGGCAGTATACAGACAGCCCATGTTTTTTCAAGTGTAGGAGCAGCGTGAGATAGATTTCCGACCTATTTCACTGCACCTTTCACAGGTACTCCTACATTGAATATTAAAGTAATAAGTTGTATTATGGTTACTGCAAGGAAAGAGCAAAACTTTGGATTTGTTTGTCATTTGAATATTTGTTGATTCTTTAGATGGCCTGTAACAAACAACCAATGCAAAGTACATAGAAAGGGTGATGAAGTCAGATCATTCCAGAGTTCATTTCTTATTAAGCTTTCTTGCAAAAGCACAATATATAACACTGTAAAACTTTTGGTTGAAAAGGATGCTTTTTCTTGTGTATGAAATTTAAATAAAAAATAAAATGTATCACTCTATGGTAAATTAATATTTCAGCAGTTAATTGCAGATGTAAAATCCTTTTTTTTTAATGTATATGGAGCTCCTTGGGTGTCATGGTAGAAAAAAATATCTTGTAGCAATTTGTGCTCTCGTTAATAATTTGATCCCTCAAATTAATAACCAGTAAGAGAGCATGAATTGCTAAAGGATAATATTTTTTTCTGCTGTGACACCTAATCTGTTTCATAAAAGTAGGATGACTGCTGGTTACTGATGCTCACATCCCAAAGTCCACCGGTTAACAGACCTGGTTCTCAAAGGCACTGAAGAGACAGACTACCTGTAAGGGGGGATCCAGGTACAGCCACTGGAGGGTGTAGAAGCCTGTGCCCTGGCTTGGCTGCTCTTTTTGGAGGATTGTGTGTAGCTGAATTCCCAGAGGCCTGAATGGTGTGCAGGTCATAGTCAGATTTGATGGTACAAAGCATCTGATTGGTCCATTGCTGCAGTGGCTGGGAGAGGTGAGTGTACCTCTTCTTATGGACTCAGGTAGTCAAGGGTTCAAACAGTGTAGCTGATGGAACCCTATTGTTTTTAATTGTTACTCTTCAGTGCAGATTACTTTGACCTTGCTGCTTTTTACCAGACACTTGTTACCTTCATTCATCATCAATCCAAACCACTGCTGTCTTTTCTAACGTCCTCAGTTTATATTATTATTCCCTCAGTTCCCCTTTTGCCCAGACTGAAAGGGCTTTAGAGAATTTTGAGACACCATTTTAGGGTACCCACAGTCATGGAAAACCTGGAAAAGTTTTGGAATTTTGAAAAAAAAATTCCAGGCCCTGCTTAAGTTTTGGAATTCTTGGATAGAGTGGAAAAGTTTTGGAAACTAGCCTTGTTCATTTTTGTCGTCTCCTTTGTCCCGCAACGTGCTAATGGAAATGTACGAGCGGAAGTCAATAGTTAACTACCTTGGTAAACATCCGTTTCTGGCACTTTTACCATGCAGATTTCGCGTATTTGAGATCACTGTTTTTTTCTATTAATCACAATTTCCTGTTTTTGACTCATTTTGTCTCTACCAATCAAGGTATGTATGATTTTGATATGTATAATTTTCTTAATAATTGAACGCTATCTGCACATTTGCGAAAGTTCGACCGTTTATTTGGTAAGCAAATTGGCTATTATCGTACCGAAAATTGTAGTATTACTATGTGAAACTGCATGATCATCAATTCGGCCATTTAATTTGCTGCGAAAAGAAAGAAGGCTTTAAAATCTTTTTGCAAATCTTTGAGAAGAAATTCGCCTTAAATAATTGTCACTGATTTTGGATGAATTTTCTGTACATAGTTTCCCTGTTTTTTTTCTTCTGTTTAATTCGTTCTTATTTCTTTGTGCATTTGAGAATGGATGCATCATTCGCAGACCCAAGATTTCAGGTACTAGGTTTTAGATTTTATTTTGTTATTTTTCCTTATACAAATACTGTTCTATCTACGTCAGTTTTACAAACTTGTGGGTTTTGGAAAATTTTCTTATGGTGCTGGAAAAGTCATGGAAATTTTTTCTGCCAGAATTGGGGGAACCCTGCCATTTCCTTGTAGTCAGGACACCATCTGCTCATCTGGGCAAGTTCCTATCTTAATTGATTCAGGAGATTTCTCAGAGGTTTCAATACAGAAGAGTACCATGTTCAACAAAAAAAAGGCGCAATTATTACAGGACCCTGATCAGATTTCACACATTTACCAAAACGAGAGCAAACTCTCCATAAAAGGCACAACATAAGAAACAAGGTCAGTCTGTAAACCTGAAGAGCTGCATCCTCTACAAGGAACCCACCGCTACCTCTTGTACTGCGGGTGACGGCAATTTCAAAGTGAGCTCTGCTACATGGCAACTGTTTAAAGGAAAAGCTCCATCAGCCCACCTACAGCCCAGCTATACCAGGGCCCACTGAGACTTATGTAAGGCATGCAATACAGGGGAACCATACATAAAAATGGGTATGTCTGCTGCAGCCACTACAACATCCCTGCCTGTACAATATGATACAAAACACTGATACAGATCACCGCTGGTGTGGAGAAGCACTTGTTTGGAGCCTTTTGCACATTGCTGTCCCGTGACAGTAACACAGTAATGAGACAGCTCATTAGTCTCTTGCATATTTAGTAACTAATATGTGCCTCGATGGTACATTAAATCTTGTATTCAGGCTTTGGCAGGTATTGTGCTGTTATACCGATTGCAAAAAGTGTCCCATGGTAAAGTGAGCAGAACTGTGGCTCTTACACACAACTGCAGCACACACTAACTTTCGGCAAAGCTTTTATCTGCCACACAGCTAAACGATCATATTTATGCAGTAATAAAAACACACCAAACAGATTTAAACAAGTTTAATATACATTAAATAACCAGCCACTTGTGTATCATGACAGGAAACTCAGGGTCTTCAGTGAATGTTTTCCAGTCCCTGTGTAAAAATTAAGACGTGAATATTTACAAGTTAATAAAATAAAATAGAAAACGGGGCACTTTAATTACTTGTCCGATTCCTTAAACTATAGGCAAGTGTAACATTATATTCGCTACAGATTATTTACAAAGCCCAAAGTGTTGAAAATTAATTTTCTTTACCTTAGACACATAATGTTTTCCAACTCCAGAAACTCTCTTGTCTCTCTCCATCAGGTAATACTGATAAGGGACCCTTGCGATTCTCTTTTCCTGCATAAAGAACACGGTCACGGCTTGTAAACTTAATCACGTGACACGTATTCAATGTAAAATGAAATAATCACCCATCTGAAAATGAGCAGAGTCTCTCTGGAAGCAAACGGCGTAGAGGTCACTGAAACGGCAGGTAAACACAGCAGAGGCGGAGCTCACCTTCCCCCAGTTCGTGAATTTGTGGATCTGCGCCGTGGCGACGCCCGGAATGATGAGACAGGCGGTCATGATAGCGAAACCTGGTAGGATTTCCCACCACATGATCGTAATGGAGTTAAAAATCTAGACAGCGACGTAATGATAGCCTAAATTCCCGTAAGCGATCACCGAATTCCTCTATCTCATCCTACGAGGCTGACGGTCATTCGGAACTCATATTACGCCACTTCCGTTTCAAAGTGAGCGCTGTCAGCAAATATCACGTTAAAAGTGACAGTGCCATCTGCAGTCGCCTCCCGGTTTTTAGGTGAAGCCAAGGAGCTTATGGTTACACGTTAAGTTTGAACGCGAATTCTCTTTTTGGATAAAGGGGTCGCATAAGTAGTCCGCTCTATAGGAAGAAATTGTAGTATTCTCCCAGCTCTCCTCTCATCAAGATGGTATTGAATTGTCCAGCTTAAATAAAAGGCATAATTATTTTAAAGGCTATTAGAAGCTCATAGTGTTTAAAGTCATAGGTATTACCGTCATGCAATCATTAATTAAAATTATTCGGAAATATGTAACCCAAAGAAACGTATTCACCCGTTCAAAATGGGAATTAATTAAAAATTAATGTAGAAATGCTTCAATTAAATACTGGGATAATGCTTCTAAATTAAAATCTAAACAATTTGAATACATCTTAATAGAATTAAATGCCCTTTTGATCAGTTCTCTTTACGAGGTTGAATCAAATAGAATACAAATACAGCATTAAAAGAAAAGTATATATATATATATACACACACACATACAATATTATTATACAATAAATGGAGAAAGCTAAAGGGGCTACAACATGTTGGAAAAAGCGCGGCTTATTTCTTTAGCTTGGAAAAGAACCGTGGTGCAGCCAAAAAACTTGACTGTCTATGTAAATTGAACTCTTTCTCTCGATAGAAAAACTATTAGTACCTTTGTTTCGGTGTTCCTTATCTTTTAGTTCAAACGATTGTTATGATGAGGTAGTGGGATTAGCTGTGATAAGCCCCTTACCCAGGAAGAATTGGATGACATTATACATAAAACCCCTCTGAATAAAAGAGAATCAATGAAACAAGGTTTTATAACTCTTAGATAAAGACATTCTTTATATTGATAATTGATGCCCGATAACTTTATTGAACTCTGACTATAAACTACTAGCTTTGGCCTTTGTCAAGAGGTTAAAACCTTGTTTGGAGGAGATTATTTCGATATCACAGTTGTCCTTTATGAAAGGCAAACATATTTCGAATAATATTCGTCTGGTTTTGGATTTGTTGGATTACAATTATCTGATTGGTAACGGGGCTACGATTTTATCTCTAGATTTCTATGAAGTGTTTGATTCATTTGAACATGGATTCATTTATCAGGCGTTGGACAACTTTGGGTTTGGTACCTCTTTTATTAACATGGTTCAAACTATATTCAATGATATAAAGAGCAGTATATATTGCTTTGGCTGAAGGCCCTTCCAAAAAGTTTCCTCTTAGCAGGGGAATTCGCCAGGGGTGCCCAATATCTTCACTCCAATTTTTAATTGCAGCAGAATTATTGAAACTTTTTACTGTACATTGTATTGAATTTGATGGCATCTGAATTGGGGAGAAATTCATATCAATAAGTCAATTAGTGGACAATACCTGTATCTTCCTGAGCAATGAAGGACAGATTCCACTTGTTCTGGATGAATTAACTGTTTTTTCTAAAGCATCTGGTATAATGGTCAATAGAAACAAAGGTGAAATTTTACCAATATACAACTGCAACAGTTACTCTATTGAGTGGAAGTAAAACATTGTAAGATGCCTTGGAATCTTTATTAGTAAATCAAACTCGGACATTACTAATAACAATTTTGTTCCTAAGATATAGTATACATTTTTTGTTTTTCATGTTACAGTTGTGTTGTATCACACGCATAGTATACTGAACTGTACCTGTTCAATAAAAAGTTCTTGAATTAATAAACCGAAAACTATAAGCCAATATCCATTAAAGAACCAATAGCACTCACGGCCGAATAATATATATTAATTATTCAGCATATGTCCTGCTTATGCTTAAAATACAACGTAATGTGTGCTTCACCAAATAAAATAACTCAGATAAAATATAAGCGCTTGAAACAACAGCTTCCCTCACATTCTAACGTCTCGATTAATTTGGTCACGTTTCCGGTGATGTAAACACTTCCGGTCTTCCGGTCTGAATGGCCAATCAGATGCGACTCTCGCCTGTTGCCACGATTAAAAAAACAGTAACCGACAGAAAAATATATACAAGAAAGTTAAGGCGTAGCGCGGCGCGGCGCGAAATATCTGTTGAAAAGCGAGTTTAACCATGATGGAGGACAAGGAGAACACCCGACCACGAGAGAAGAAAGTGGTTGAAATACGGTGTGACGACAGCGAGAAGCTTGAGAAGCCCAACAAGGAGAAAAAAGAAACCATGACAAAGGTAGCGAGCGGCGGCCTTGTGGCCCAGGCCACGGGTGTGCGCTCCTCCCCGTGCGGTACCTGCCAGTCACCGCTCAGTAACATGCTGGAGAAGAGCTTGGGCGCCGTGATCTAGAGAAATATTCCGCGTCGCTGTTCCGCAGACTAACCTCTCCCTTCACTTATAGATTGTGATCCGGAGGCTGCCGCCCAGTCTGACGAAGGAGCAGCTGGAGGAGCAGCTGCAGCCCCTTCCCGAGGTGGACTACCTGGAGTTCTTCTCCAACGACACCAGGTACCCGGCAAGCACGGAAGCCAGTTGAGAGAGAGAGAGAGAGGGAGAAAGAAAGAGAGAGAGAGAGCGACCGCGGCCTGTCCACAAGCCTGCTGACTAAGTGTTTTGATTGACCCAAACAGCCTGTACCCCCACCTTTTCTCAAGAGCCTACATCAGTTTCAAGAATCAGGATGACATTGTCCTTTTCCGAGACCGCTTCGATGGATATGTGTTCGTTGACAACAGAGGTGTGGTCTGCGATGTTTGTTTACATCTATTTTCTTAATGGTGTCTTCCTTATTTTTCAAGTGCCGTGACTGTGACTGTTTTGTTTGGTTTTTGAACAGGGCAGGAATATCCAGCCATCGTGGAGTTTGCGCCATTCCAGAAAATTGCCAAAAAGAGAAGCAAGAAGAAAGACGCCAAGGCCGGCACCATCGATGAAGGTAATAGTCTGGAGATGCTTGACTCAGACCCACACTGCATCCTGGTTAAAAGGGGTATTCAGAAGTGCATGTGTTTCCCATATCCATCAATAGATGCTGATTACAAGAAGTTTTTGGAGAACTACAATAGAGATGATGAGAAGTTCACCTCCACCCCTGAAACGCTGCTTGAGGAAATAGAGGCCAAAACAAAGGAATTGGGGGGTGTGTATTTACACATGGAGTGAGCACACTTACAAACTAATCACCTGCTTAACAAATGACCGATTTGTTTTTGATGTGTTGAGAGGGTGTTTTAGTGTGTGTAATTTCTTTCCCCAGCTAAAAAGACAACTCCTCTTCTGGACTTTCTGAAAAACAAACAGGTAACTTGCTTTTTAAAGCCCCTTTTATGGGTTGTATAAGTTACTTCCACCTCACATATAATGCTGAAGGTTCATAAAGGCCCTGGTTGTGACCTGAGTTTCTCATTTTCAGAGGATTCGTGAAGAGAAGAAGGAGGAGAGGCGGAAGAGGGAGCTGGAGCGCAAGCGTCTCCGTGACGAGGAGCGACGCAAGTGGAGAGAAGAGGACCGAAGAAAGCGCAAGGAGGCAGAGAAGCAGAAGAAAGGGGAGAAAAATGTGGACAGAGAGCGGGAGGAGAGCAAGGAGGAGCCCAAGATCAAGGTTCGGAAGCTGGAGGTACCTTCTCCCTGCAGATACTTACTAGGGTACTGGGCTGTATATTTGAAGGGCTTTTCTATTCCCTAGCTTTTGAGGAAACCTGAGAAAGGAGATGATGTCGAGACAGAGTCCAAGGCCAAAGACAAGCCGAAGAAGAGTGAGGACAGGTCTTCGGGTATGGAGTTTAAGAAACGGCCAAACGGTGAAAACCGCGAGGACCGAGGGAGACGGTGAGTGATTCCGATTCACCAGAATTTCACATTCAAGCTCCTATCTCAGTACTCTGCCTTGTATGGTTCACTGTCTTGTATATAAAGCAAGCAGGATGAGGATGGACGGAAGGAACACCGGGATTGGGACATGGACCGGGAACGTGAGCGCCGCCAGAGGGAAAAAGAAAGGATCACCAGGCGGCAGGAGGAAGAGCGAAGGAAGAAAAGGGAGCGCTACGAGGCTGAGAGCTCCTTCCGCAAGAGAGACGAGGATACAAAGAAAGAGAAGGATCGCAGTTGGGAAAAGAGGAAGAGTGAGAACGGTGCAGAGCTGGGCACACATAATGAAAAAGCAGAGAGGTCTGCCAGAGATGATCGAAAGGAGGACAGCTCCAAAAGGGACCGCGTGAGGAATAAGGTATCACCTTTCTGGATGTCTGTCGCCGGGCCACTTAGCGCCAGTTCAGTCTGTCTTGCCCATTGCTGCTTGTCCTCCCTTGTGTTTAGTAACTTGTTTGCACATGCAGGACCGGCCTGCCATTCAGCTTTACCAGCCGGGCGTCCGAAGCCGCAATCGGGCAGGTGGGGTCGAAGCCCAGGCCGGGGAGAGGAAGGCAGAGAGCCAGACCAAGAGCACCCAGGAGAAAGGAGAGGAGTGATCAGACCACTGAGAGAGCGTACAGAGGAGACAAGCGAGGCAAGCATGGATGTGGCCTGTGAGGACGACTGCAGAAGTCGAGCCATCCCTCGCTCCTCGCCACTCCCTCCACCGGGGAAGCACAGACGAGAGCCTGCCGTCTTCCAGTGCCTGAAAAGCTTCCCTGGCTTTTGTCAATAGTGTCGGGGGAAGCAGATATTAAGGGCTCAGCAACACGGGCACAGTAATGAGATGCCAAACTGCAGGACCAAGCAAACCAAAAGTGACCTTAAATTACGCATGAAGGCTATGGCTGTACTCTGCACTAGCATAGCTCTGGGCTACACATGCTGCATCCAGATAGCTTCCAGGTTGAGCAGCACACACAGTCTTCATGGGACCCCTCCCACAGCAATATTCTTTTCTCGCGTTTATTCCATATCTGCATTCAGTTTAAGTTCTGCAAGACAGGAGGCCAACCTCATTTCTTTAAAGCTGCATCCCTTCAGGATTTGGGGAATACCCCGCCCCCGAATGGCAAATGAAATGCCAGGTGAATTATTGTCCAAAGAATGATTCTAGTAAAGCAGTGATGCCAGTCTGTTTTTGGCTTTCTGGGGGCTGCTGTTGGCGGCTGCTTCGCTAAGGAATGCTAAAATGCTTTGTGCCAATTTTTTCTTAGCTGTTTGAAGCTTTTCTGTATGTTTTTGGTTTGTTCACAACATGCTCACATTCAGAGAGATTGTGGAGACAACTCGCTCTGTGCTGCTCTCTGGTGGTTAGCTTGTGACAAAGCCATGAATTGCTGCCAGTTTGCTACAGTGAAGCATCCAGCTGTTTTTGTTTTCAGATGAGATGATAGTTGTACTGGAACCGAATCTTCCTTTAATCTTGTTAATGTTTCAGAGCCTTTCTGCATGGTCACCTGTGCTTGTGCACTTTCTGTTTGTGTGCTACAAATTTTTAGGAGGGATGCAAAAAACTATTAAACACATTTGTTTTATCTGGTGTGTTTACATGCTTGTTGACCAGTGGCCTGTACTACAGAGCGGGGTTACTGGCTTATTGGGGTGACATGTCGGATTTAAGGTAGTCTGGCAAAATGTAAGTTAACAAATATGAAGTCAATTTAAACTGTGGTACCTTAAATCTGACAAGTTACCCCGATAAGCCAGTAACCCCGCTTCGTAGTACAGGCCACTGATAGATGCAGTTATATAGTCTAGTTTATCAAAATATGAATTTAGAGCTGAGTGAAACTATTGATATACATTTGTTCTAGCCATGAATATTCTGTTATTTGCCCAACCATTACCCTTTGTGGTGAAATTTTTACTAGTCATTTTAATATGTAGTGACATAAAATAAATGCAGTTATTGCTAAGGCAATGTGCCAACTACATAATTAAAAGGAAGCAGTTGATCATTCTTCAAGCAGAAATAACTCAAAAAGCATAGCACAGTAACAGGGATAGAGAAAGATGGTACAAGAATCAAAACACAAGCGAAATGTACTGGGCCAGGCAAAGATGACGTTTACTGCATGGTGTGACTCAATGGGCAGTGGTGTCTTAATGGTTGGGGAAGCGCACTTGTAATTGAAAGACTGCTGGTTTGAATCCCCAACCAGCAAGGTACCGCCCCCAAGTGCTGAATTAACTGCCACCTGTTATGTCAGGATGTCACATATGGGTTAAATGCAGAGGACACATTTCATTGTTGTACACTGTGCTGATCACCAAATTCGAATTCAGTAATAAAATAAAATCTTTGTGACAAATAATGCTATGAGAATAAAAAAAAAGTTTGTTGCCAGCTACGGAAATGAAATTTCCAGCTATTCCAGTGCTTATTAATTCAGGAGTCCAGAGGAAACCGGTTTGTTACTGTCGTCGTCTGTCGTCATCATCGCAAATAGAGAACATCAATCTAGTTGGGGTGTTTTTTTTTCTTCAAATTTAATTAGATATTCACGTACTTACGTACCAGAAAGCTACGTATGCACTGGTTAAGGACGCTGTCTCAGAGCAGTTCTTGGTGCACTTTTAGTTCAAGAAGAGCACCCAAGCTTTCGATTAATTTCGTACAAAAAAAAACCATCAAGCCCCCTATACGTCTGGTGCGTTTGTTCCGCCTGGTGATGCTATGTGACTGTTTAGGGAGCGCTGCCGAGCCAGCAGGTGGCAGTAGCGTGGTTGCACTACAGGCGCCGGGCTATGAAAGGCTGGACACGCCCCCAGTGGAGTCTCCATGTTCCGGTCGTTACCCAGAGTTCTCTCTCTTCGGCAGGCGCCATTGTGGTCGTAGGATTCTCGATCGGCCATGGTGAGGAAATATCGCCTAACATCCTCAGGTTCTTCGGCTCACGCTGGTTAAATAATGGACTGAGTATAAAGCTTGTGTTTTATGGCAGAGGTCGGTACATGTATTTTCCGGACAAGGGAAATAAAAATGGGATATTAGTTAATTGAAAAGTTGGGGGTCGTGTACAGAAGAGCAGCCATAGCTGTGTGTAAATAAACGTGTTTACGGGTGCCGTTTGCGCCTTTAATAACTCTGCTTTTCCTTTAAAGCTTAACGATATTCACGTTTCTTAAACCTTTCTCGTTCAGTCGTCGCACAAGACTTTCCGGATCAAGCGCTTCCTGGCAAAGAAGCAGAAGCAGAACAGACCGATCCCGCAGTGGATCAGGATGAAGACCGGCAACAAGATCAGGTAGGCCGCTGATGACTGAGGGGCCGAGGTCCGGGTGTTGTGGCTGCATGTCCAACGCAGGATGCAATTACAGTCCTTCATCGTGTGGAAGTACTGCCATTACCCTGCGGACAGTAAGAGGCTGCGGCGAAGTTAGGGTGACCTGGCCGGTCAGCCGGACGGGATGCTCTGCGGCAGTGACATTTGAGAACCTGGCGCTAGCCACGCTTTACTTTCTTTGATTTAATTCTCCGAAACGAGACGCGTTTTGGTCAGGTTTCATCTCGAAGAATGTTACATGGGGGTAACCAGGGGCATAGGGATCGAGGGGAACAGGTACCCCCCAGTATTTAGTTTGGATTGATTAATCTCTGATAACTAGACCTTTATTTAAATTGCCCCCCCATATCAAATGCTCTTCTATGCTGTTGAGAGTAACACTGTGAAATTTCCTTCTTCCACAGATACAACTCCAAGAGGAGACACTGGAGGAGAACCAAGCTGGGACTGTAATTGCCCACCTCCTGCACCCCAGCACCCACAGGCTCTCCTCCACTTTGTCGGGAGATGTTTGCACCCAGACCTGCAGAGAAGCCATGGCCATCCCAGAAGTGGTGTCTAATTTTTCTACAGACGTTGCTTGTCAGTTTGCCGACAATAAAGTGAGGAAATGAGCAAACTGTGATGTGTGATTTTTAAAGAGTGTCAGCGGGGCATGATATAATGTGGTGGTCAGTCACAGCTTCGAGTGATTTATATGCAAGTCTTTCTTTCTGGGTCTTAAGTGGTAAAGGGAGCATAAAATGTGGATGTTAGATTCATAATAGATTCACAAAGTTACAGCCATGTGCCTCTGGTGACCTTGAAGAGATATTGGTCCTTGGATTGCATGTTTCTGCCTTACAAACTAGTGCTAGGGTTAAGGAACCCTGTGATTTCTTCTGAGTTCTGCCATAAAAATACCATCACTGAGCTGCAGTGTAGCAGAGCGCACTATACTGAATATGAGTAAACTGGATTTCACACAGGAGGTGAGTGGCACAAGTTAGAGGTCGTGCCATGGTGTAGAGCACCTGGATTTTAGTCTTACTGGGGTGGTGTGTATTGTGTGGAGTACAACTAAGCCACTGTGATTGGAATGTTGCTGGTTCAAGCCTTGGAATAATCGTATGTCTGGGCTCTTGAGTAAGAACCTTACCTGCCAGCTGAAGGGACTGGTTGACCTTGATTGTATGTCACTTTGGGTAAAAGTGTCTGCTAAATGTCAGTTTGACCTTCAGTCCACAATCCCTGGGTCTTTCTAATTCTCAGCTGTTCAAGTGTTGCTGGTTCTGTGGCTTTTCTCCTTTTGAGTAACCCCTCCTCTTTCTGCTCTGATCACTCAGTGCAGCCTGGATTTAATCTTCAGGCAAATGATGCTAACCCTGTGTCCATGCTGTCCCAAGTGGCTCGGTCACACCCTGAATTCCTTCCGAAGCTGTTTCCTCCATGGTAGCTTTACACAGGGGGATTGAACCACTTGTCACATTCCAGCCACACCCCCCATTTGTGCTCCATTTTGGATTGGTCCAAAAGACCATATGTGTGAACAAATTAAGTGCGGGCAAGTAGTGTGGCACAGGCCATGCTGTCTCACTGGAATCTGTAATGCTCATTTCTGTATGTCTTACTTTAAGGATTTGTAATGTTAAGGTGAGATCCCAATACCATGTAACTTTCCTGTGCATCAAAGCACCTGTAGTTAAATAATAATGAATACCTACTGTGGGCTGGTTTATGGATTGTGCAACCCTTAGTTTTGTCTTAATACTTTATTAATTGAGGAATATATTTGAAAGAGAACGATTCTTAATTTAATGGTACTTCTAATTCATGCAGACGACAGTAGTACAAGTCCAAATGCAATGACCTGTCTTTTCATGTATTCCAAAAACTTTGAGAATAATTTGTCCTGAGTATTTCCCCACTCTGAGACTTGGGCATACATTCTCCCCTTTGCTATGATGGGAAATGTGCATGTTTAAACACAAGGTGCATGCAATGAATAAGGCACGAGGTCTGGTTATATATAGGATGTGCTTAGAATAAATTTTTGCCTTTGACTAAATATTTTCCCAACATTTATTACTCCCTTCATCTAAGTCATTTAAAATCAAACAATATAATTTTCTCTTATTTTCAAGAAACATTTGCTGAAATCCTTTTATAAACATATACATATTGATTAGTCAGAGCATGACTTAAAATCGACATTTTCATTACTCTGAGTTGAACTGCGGATACTGTTGCCAATATGCAGTATTGGGGCAAACAGCTTCTTCAAAGAGCCAAACCTCCACCAATCACGAGTCCTGAAAAAGGAGTCTGTCCACACTTCGTTGTCGGTGGGCTCCATTCTGGTGAGATTCATGGCACACGAGCTGTTGTTGTTGGCATTTTGGTGCCCGGCTGTCTCAAAGAGAGAGTCTGGCGCGCCCAGCAGCTCCCTTATTTCCACCGAAGAGCTTCCCTTCAGGTACTGCCAAGCTCGTCTGCCGCTGTAGTCCATGGCCTCCACATCAGCGCCAAAGGCTCCCACCAAGAGCTTGATGACCATGTTCTGCCCGTGCATCGTAGCTATGTGGAGGGGTGTGAAGCCTCCACCCGCTTTCAGGTTCACGTTGACCGGAGAGCCCTCTTTCTCAGCATATCTCAGGAGCTTCACAAGAGTCTCGTACTTCCCGTACTTAGCTAACCAGTGAATAGCAGTAAAGCCACTGATGAAGTCCTTTTTGGTCAGCAGGCTGAAATCCTCCGAAAGGTAATTCATGATGGTGTCGTAATTGCCGTCCACCACTGAGATCATCCAAGCGTGCTCCGTGGGATCCAGAGCCCAGAACGAGCTGCCGCTGTTGCCCTCTTCAGTGGTGTCGGATGGGTGGCTGTCCCACTCTTTGGAAAAGGAGGCAGCGGAGTCTCTGGGTGACTCTAAGATGCTTCCGAAACCACTACTCAGATTATTACTCAAGAACAACTCCTTTAGGTATTTTTTGCGCATGGCTGTAGTGAGAGATCCCTTCTCCGAGGGATCCCAACTGGAGTCGCTTACCTCCTTCTGCCTCTGTAGTCTCAACCTGCGGACTGAGACAGGCTGGGATGCACGGACACCAACCCTGTCATTACTTTCTCTGACTCCCGTAGTGGCACAGGAGTCTCTCCGATCACCATTTGTTGTCATAGATCCTGGCTCTTCCTCATCTTCCTCCTCCTCGCCCAGAGACAGGAGAGGAGGGGGAGTTAAATTGGAGCCGGACATCACGGAGATGTGTGCACTGTCATACGGCTTTGGGAGTTTCCGCCACTCGCTCCTAGTTCCTTTAGTTTAAGATTTGCGAAGAGATAATGGAGGTTTATTTTGCAATTGAGGAAATAGTTACACTGAGGCGTCCCTTAGCGGCCTCTTACTGCATTTTACCCCTGAAAGTAACAAGACGAAAGAACAGCATGACTGTTTTATAAGACGAACGTAAACGCGCGTATCAATCCACATATTTAACAATGCATTAAGGTAAACCATTTCCCATGCATCCCGTACTGTGCATTAAGGTAACTGTTTCCCACTGGAAATGAGCAAACGGACAGGCCTAATTTCCAAATAAAAGAACAAATATCACACTACAACGACAATAAAAACTATGCCCTGTGAGATTTATTCTTGTAGTGCAGCTGTTATGATACAAGCCAACTATTGAGATATTTAAGTCTTCAAATTTCAGTTCTTTAAATAAAATAAATAGCACCACCCATGAACCGCTCTTCCCCATTTCAACCGTTGCTTCCACTTTCGCCACAAAACAAATCGCAGCTCTGGATTATATAGTGGAAAAAATTACCCGAAGTATTTACATGTTACTACAAATTTAATCACTCCTGTTACTTTCATTACTCACCCCAAAAAACGCTAGCATGGCATCACACCAACTTTATTAATTATTTAATATTTTTCCTTTATTCATTAATAATGATCTTCTCCTCGTTCTCACCTGAGGATAGCATGATCACAGATACAGGGAAGAGTCCTTCATTTCCCCATGGTCAAAGCTGTTGCTATACATCATTAAGAAATAAGCGCTCTTAAAATAAGTAGATAAAACGTTGCTTTTCCGTGTATAATCCCACTTTGAAGTGTTGCGTCTTCCGAAGGCGATCTTCTCACTACAAGTTCCCTCTTTCTCCTTTTTATCTGGCCCTTTCTGTTCCCTCTCTCTCTCTTTCTCTCTTTTTCTTGCTCGAGTCACTAACACGAAGTTCAACTCCAGACCGATTCAACATGCGACGGCTTTGCAGTTTTTGCTGTTAATGCGTGGAAACGTCTCGAACGTCACAGCATTAGGTCACTTATAATATATCACCCATTAAAATGACTGCGCTGTGCCCTTGGAACAACAGCAATGTGCGCCATGCAAATTAACTTCCTCATCGAAGGGCAAATCATATCTGTACAATTTTGTAGTTGATTCCTGTCTTCGAAATATTTACATATAAGTACAAAATAAATTATATTGCAATTAACAGCAAGTCTACGGATTTTGTTATGACCTGTCATTGTAGTCTCCAGATCAACCTAACTATGAAAGCCTTCATGATCCTGTCAAGACAGAAAAATAGAGTTGCATATCATAATGAAGTGTGTTCCTATTTTTATGCTATCAGGGTCAGGTGTTGTTGCCCATTAAATGCCATTTGAAAGTGATTAAGCATGCTTGTGACAAGAATGACAAGGACATTCACTGCCTGCCCTGCATTTACAGGAGACAACCTACCCTACCCATATCAACTACAGGCACTCCCAAGGTTCACCTTCAGGCGGTAAAGGGCACTCGCTTATTCGTTATTTTATTGTGCATTCCACAATTTTGTTCAAGGTGATTTTTGAAATCTGTGTTACAGTTAAAGTTCACATGTCTGTGAGGAATTGCAGGTCCATTTTCCGGTGTTTCGGGCAATTCAGTTTCCCTATGTTTCCCCTGTCGCGCGCTGATTTGTACACGGTTTCGCTGTTGTTTTCATGTCTTTTTACGAAGCTCTTGAGGTAAACAAGCCACATATTTTAAAACATCACATGTTTCTTGTTTTTACTGATAATAAATGAAAGTATTTAATTCGCTGGATAGAGATATTTCTTGATGAAAACGGTATAGTATTGCTTATAAGACTATATTATGCGTGACGATCTACTGTATTCGCATGTAATAATGTACCTGAGTGATTTTCAGACATCCCACATACATATTTGCCTAAATATTAGGAGAAACATTATTTCCTGACATCCAGGATATTTGGTTCTCCCCTGTTAAAACAGGTATACAGCAACTCTGGGCCTCGGTACTAATAACAATACAGTATTCACATGTAATAATGTACTTGAGTGATTTTCAGACATTTCACATACCTCTTTGCTTTAATATTAGGGGAAACATTATTTCCCGATAGACAGGGGAAACATAGGGAAACCGAATTGCCCGGAAGACCGGCTTAAGATAATGGGAAAAATCAGTATGAGATATAAACTTTTAACTCGGATTTTTCCGATTATTCAACGCCTGACAGTCCATCCGTTTTTCAAGTCTGCTTTATGCCACACTGGCCGCCTTCCAGTGTCAATCCACTCCCGGAAGATGCATATCAAAGGAAGCCTTTGGCACCCCCGGAACCCCCATCCGGTCATCCGATTGGTGGTCATGTCCTGACCCTCCTCATATTTTCTATGCTTACTCCATCAAACCACTAAATGGAAATGTTTATTAAGTATTTTGATTCCTGGCCATGTTCACACGATCGCGCGAGCTGCTTGGAGCGTCCGGCAGTGTTTGCACGGCTCCTCGTCCCCATATTATTCATAAGGTTTAGAGAAATCTAGAGGTTTGATAAGTTTGCTTTAATTGTGTGATTTCCTTTCGGTGAAGCATCCCAGAATTAACTCTAAGAAATATGTTTTGAATCATTTCATACTCTGAAGAAGTTCAGATTCAATAAACTTTAATATGCCATTTTTTACGAGCACACTAAAAAAGAAATCTATCTTTGCATTTTTCATTGACACGAAGCTGGAGGGAATATAAGACTTCATAGCATTCGCCGTTACTTTCCGCTTTTATATTACCAGGTTCGTGCTTTATCTCGGAACTGGACGATTTATCTGAATTTCAAAGCGCTCAGAATAAACCATTTTAAGAAACAAGGGGGGGAGATGCTGTTTTTCATAATGAAACGCTATAATTTAGTCTCACATTAGTGTGATTACGTATGACATTTATCTAAGCTATTACATTTGGGAAATCGTTTGCGGTGTTGACTGTTCCCCGCGGTGAGGGCAGCACTTCGGTTGCGCTGCCCCCCCCCATTCATCGCGGTGCAGTGGTGCGCTCCCCGCCGCGCTCTTCTCCTCCCTCTGGCAAGCGGAGGTGCCGTTTCCTCTCCCGGCTCCGGAGCAGTATGTCCACCGCGGAGGTCGCTCGGCAAGCGGTGAGTCTCTACGGCGCATCTCAGGGAGCTCTCAGATGCTGGGCTGTGCGTGGCCTCATTTGCTGAGCTATACTCGGCATTGCTGCGTTTACTGCACGCGGTTTATGGGCGAGTTATTCCATGCTCCGGACCGTTATTTCCGTTATGTTTTAAAATACGTAAAATAAGGGAAAGTGGCGGATAGATGACAAAAAACCGGGTTTGATTACATTTAGAACGACACATACTTAAATATCAATATAAATCGGTATAAATGACAAACGATCAAATTATTTCCTGACGAAAAAGCTCGTTGGAATGAATCCAGCCTGATTAGCCAAGTTGACTGACTGAGGATGCCGCCCAGAGGGCCGCTGGGCGAACGCTCAGCACACGGGACAGTCCCGGCACAGGGCCCGGTGGGCTGGGGTCGGGGGATGTTTATCCCCCTAAAACCGCAGGGCTGGTTCACGTAAACGGCATACAGTATGTGCCCTTTATGCCTGGTCTTAATGTTACACAGGATGGCAGCTGAAGACAGGCCCTCGTCCCATGCAACCCGAGCTTCATACATTTGGTACCAAAACCCCCTTTTTCAGGGGCTGCGAATTGATCCTGCTTAGGGAGAGCTGCGTGTAAGATGCCCCCGAACATTTTTTTTTTCAAGTTTTAACCGTGACTTATGATAGTAAAATAAGTAGAACAATGTAGTTTTATAAGCATATACTATATATACTACAACTATGAATGCCATACTTTTAACCATCCGTCTATTTTGTAACTACTTAGAGATAGTAGGGAGCTGGAGTCTGTCCCAGGCAGCACAGGGTACAAGGCTGTGGTTCACCCTGGATGGGTTGCAAGTTACATTTAAGCTATTAAACTGTGATGAAAACATAGTAAAACATAATCTTGATTTTAGGGCTGTGCTGGAGTCCTCATAGCATTGAAGTTTGTAGAGTATGTGTTTATTTATTTATTTTGTGTGTGTGTGTGTGTGTGTGTGTGTGTGTGTGTGTGTGGGGGGGGGGGGGGGGGGGGGGGGGGGGGGGGGGCAGCTGTTTGACTTCCACTCACTGCTCTCTAGCTAAATGCCCAACCGTCTGGTTCTTTGTATACATATAGACATAAAGAATGGGCTGGGGGTTGAGGGATATCCTGAGGACTGATGCTAAGGTGCAGCTGATGAGGGGTCTGTCCACAACCGCCATGTTTGTACAGGAATGTGTGCACTGCAGCCTCGATGCAGAAGTAACTGAAACTTTCCAAATATGTACATTGTGGTTTCTCACTGTTTTCTGCTATGTAGAGCGTTTGTGGCAGGAAACAGGAAGCAAACTCGTACCTGAGTGTACTGGAGGCTGCAGTGAAGAGGCCTCCTGTCTGAGCCGCTTTCATGCTGTCACCAAATGAAATATTGTCAGCAGCTTTCAGTCTTTATTCCTGCCAAGCTGCACTTTGGTTCCATATTTACATTTACATCAGGTGACTGGAGGGTTGGTTGTAAGCTGTTAGGCCCTGTCCCAGCCACCCACTAGGTCACGATGCACTGTTTCTGAAGTGCGACACAGCGTTTGCAAAGATTAACACACGGTCGTAGGCTGCATTGGTGTCTTTGGGGCTGTGATTATGATAGGATAAACCATCTGATCGAAGTGGAGTAGTAAATGGAGGATCGTGCATGCTATCTGTCTCTTTCTTCACAGCCAGATGGTGCCCGCTCTGTCCCTCTCTCTGGCCATGTGGGCTTTGACAGCATGCCCGACCAGCTGGTCAACAAGTCCGTTGGCCAGGGGTTCTGCTTCAACATCCTTTGTGTGGGTGAGTAACGCAGAGGCTTTCATATGTGTCACTTTGGGGCGGGACTGAGTGAAGCTGATGCTAATGTCTGCTGGGAAGCTGTGAGTGGCGTTTTATAAGCGAATACTCTGAAGCATACTGGACCAGTGCTGCTCTGTGCAGTTGTGTCTTAGTGAGTTGTTAGTATGGGCGTCTAAAGATAAAGAATAATTAGTTAGTTTTAGCTTTCTTTGGAGGTATGATGTGTTCTTCTGATGCTCTTTTCAAGTGAGGATACTTTCCACTGCCATTTTCACCTTACTGAAATGTCACAGTCATAGACAGAAGATAACAACAGCAAAAGCCTGTATCACAGACATGGACCTTATGCTCTGTTCTGTATTGTGGTGACTTTTTTGTTATATATTTGTCAGCAGAGACCCGTGGAGGTGTCAGTCTCAACCTTATTAGGGAGGTAGGGGGGTCAGGACATCAATATCCTGTAGCTTCCATCACTGTAGGCTTCTCTCCAGCAAAGTTCATGTATCAGGGGTGAAGCATGGGATACCAGAATAGCAGGAGACAGAGAGGAATAGACAGGGTTAAATGCAAGCAGTGTTTTCATGAAGGTCACCTGTGACCATTTGCGTGTGTTGTATCCATGCCTCAGGCGAGACTGGCGTGGGGAAGTCCACGCTCATGGATACCCTGTTCAATACCAAGTTTGAGGGGGACCCCACCAAGCACAGCCAGCCCAGTGTGCAGCTGAGATCCAGCACCTACGAGCTGCAGGAGAGCAATGTCCGTCTCAAGCTGACCGTGGTCAACACCGTGGGCTTTGGCGACCAGATCAACAAGGAGGAAAGGTTGGTCTCACGGCAGGGGGCGCGGCTGAGTCTGAGCACCTTTGGATCTCTGCCTCTTCTGCTCTTCAGGCTTCTGGCAGATGTTTCTCTTTATCTCACATCCACAGTCCTTTTCCCAGACCATCTATTTCATATTTTTACTTAGTTTCTAAATGAGCAAAATCATATGTAGTAAGTCAGTGGACATGACAGTACAAAATGGCCTTGAGACCAGGTTCATTGATTGTTTTTTAATTTAGAATGATTAGAATGTCTGGTGTTATAACCAGGAAATCAAAGGTATCTGTGAGGTTTGAACAGGTAAGTATGACCTTGACAGGAGGATTGCCATGGATGGAGCTGGGGATCTCCTCTGAACCTTTTTGCTTCTTGTAGTTATAAACCCATCGTGGATTTCATCGACGAGCAGTTCGAGGCCTACCTGCAGGAGGAGCTGAAGATCAAACGGACGCTGCACAGCTACCACGACACTCGCATCCACGCTTGCCTCTACTTCATCGCCCCCACCGGCCACTCGCTGAAGTCCCTGGACCTGGTCACCATGAAGAAGCTGGACAGCAAGGTGGGCTTAGGGTTATGTAAGAGGTAGGTTAGGGTTAGGGTCAGCAGCGAGCGTGGCCCTGTCACAGGATGGGCCTGCCAGATGCAGCTCAGGGGTAGGGCTACGTTAGTTTAGCAAGTGCATGCCTATAAGTAATTAATGCATGGTGAAGGCCTACTGTTCCAGCAGTTTTTTGCTTTGAGGGGGTGTTTAGGGTGGCATGGTGGCTCAGTGGGTATCACTTCTGCAGGGTGAGCGGTTCACATCCCATACCCGACTCAGGGTATGCAGAGTTAACATGTTCTGTTGTGCTGGTTTCAGTCAGGTGGACTGGCTCCCTCTGACAGTCCATAGACATGCAGTTATGTGAACTGGTGACAATGAATTGTGACTGTGCTCTCTGTGATGGACTGGCATCCCATCCAGGGATGATTTTGACGCAATGCGTCCGTGACTCTGCTAGACCTGTGACACCCAGTCCTTGCCTCCCCCAGGTGAACATTATCCCTGTCATTGCCAAGTCGGATGCCATCACCAAGATCGAACTTGCCAAGTTCAAGATCAAAATCTGCAGTGAGCTGGTCAGCAATGGCGTCCAGATCTATCAGTTCCCCACCGATGATGAGACAGTGGCTGAGATCAACTCCGCGATGAACGTGAGTCACGAAGCTGTCATAACCTGGCTTTGCAAGCCTATGCTACACCCTGCTTATAGTCATCATGGTAACTGTGGATAGACACTGCACTGAAGTCCTAAAAACAGGACAGGGGAGGTACATCTCATCTGTCTCCTGGTGTGTTCTACCAGAAGGCTGTCCAGTGCATTTAGGCTCACAGTGTGTTGTATAAGAAAGAGTCAAAGCTTCTGGCTGTAAAACAGCTGTGTGCTGCATTCCTCCGCCTGCAGACAGGAAATGGCCTCAGTGCTCTGACCAGATCATGTTTGCTACAGGAAGTGTCAGCTGTGGGAACGGGCCCACATTTGAGCTGGCAAAGTGACAGCACCATGGGAACTCGGACACTGGGAGAAAGGGATGTACAGGAATGCAGAGCCAGGGGACACAGGGGCACATTGACATGCAGACAGGGATACTGACAAACAGAAATACTGACACAGGGGACACTGACTGAAGCTTAGTGGAGGGGTATTTGTGTGTGAATAGTCTGAGGACACAGACTATTCACCTGAGAAGGTGTGTAGTTACACAACGTGCAGTGGGTAGCGTTCTTTGTGTGACAGGTGTGTGTGTCTGTGGGTCATCAGGGTCACCTGCCATTTGCTGTGGTGGGAAGTACAGAGGAGTTGAAGATCGGGAACAAGATGATGAAGGCAAGGCAGTATCCCTGGGGAACGGTGCAGGGTGAGTAGGTGCAGCAAACGGGTGATGTGGGATTTCACACGTGTGTGAGGCGACTGGGGGGGGGTGGCACCTTCAGGGTCTTCATCCTTGCTGTCCCGTTCGCAGTGGAGAACGAGAATCACTGTGACTTTGTGAAGCTGAGGGAGATGCTGATTCGCGTGAACATGGAGGACCTGCGGGAGCAGACACACGCCCGCCACTATGAGCTGTACCGCCGCTGCAAGCTGGAGGAGATGGGCTTCAAGGACACGGACCCCGACAGCAAGCCCTTCAGGTGGCCAAACCGGAGCTGCGCCCCCTGCTGGCCATAAAAGGGTTAGGGTGGGCATGTGGTGTATGAGCAGGGGAGACCTCGTCTCACAGCCCTTGTGGCCCTGCAGCCTCCAGGAGACCTACGAGGCCAAGAGGAACGAGTTCATGGGTGAACTTCAGAGGAAGGAGGAGGAGATGAGGCAGATGTTTGTTCTCCGAGTCAAGGAGAAGGAGGCCGAGCTAAAGGAAGCAGAGAAGGAGGTGTGTGAGATTGTGGGTGCATGTGAGAGAGTGTGTGTGTGAGCATACACATGTGAGTGTGCCTCAACACGTGCACACTCACACACATGCAAAGTGATCAACACAAACTGCTCACACTAAGGGCGCTTTTCCACCGCACAAAGTATGGTACTTTTGGTACTTTCACTTTTCCATTGACAGTACTGAAAGTTCCAGTACCAAAAGTGCCAAAACAGCTGGGGTACTTCTTTGGTACTTTGGGGTGGGACTTGCAAACGTATTTGCTGTCAATTGGTTATGCAAATAGCCTGCCGCTGAAACACAAAATACAACTGCCATCTTTTGAAACACACAGCGAACAGTGAGACACTAAATAAAAAGTAGTAGAAACAAAAATATATAAAAAGTAAAATGGAAGGGTGGACAAACGAGGAAACAAAGACTTTAATCGCCATATGGTTGGATGAACAGATCCAGCGAGATTTGGATGGCACGACTCGAAATAAAAAAGTATTTGCTGTAATAATTAGCCGCTTGGAAGAAATGGGGCACACGCGAAACACCGAACAATGCCGCTTGAAAATCAAAAAACTTAAGCAGGACTACAGGAAATTGAAGGATCATAATAACATGTTTGAATTCAGCAAAAGAAATACCGCACCGCGCTTTGTGATGATGTCAGTCAGGGGCGATCACTGATGATGTCATTTAGCGCCGGTACCAGTTTTTACGCCAGTTGAAAACCGACACAAAAGAAGTACCACACTTTTGGCACTTTATTGAAGTACCGAAAGTATGGTACCTGGTGCGGTGGAAAAGCGCCCTTAGGAGCTGGGGGTCGTATGCAAGGCATGGAGACACCTTGAAGTTTCTTTTTCAATCTTATCTTCCAGCTGCATGAGAAGTTTGACCGGCTGAAGAAACTGCATCAGGAAGAGAAGAAGAAGGTGGAGGACAGGAAGAAGCTTCTTGACGATGATCTGAATCAGTTCAAGCAGAAGAAGATGGCCATGGAGCTGCTGCAGTCCCAGGGCCAGCAGGCTGGGGGCAGCACCACGCTCAAGAAGGACAAGGAGAGGAAAAAGTAAGTATCTGCACCCCTGGTATCAATCTTCTATTAATGACATATGTACATAGGACAAGGAAATTTGGGTGAAATGCCGACAGGAGTTCCTCTGTGGCTTCATGGGTGCTTTGATACCCGTTAAGGCTGGTTCAAACGATTCGCTATCGTCCACTTTAAATACCAACATGGATGCTTTTGACGAGCGTTGGGGTAGTTTGCATACCCTATAGACTATTTACAAGGTAATGAAATTGTTACATACATGTAAATGCGTGTGTATGCCTGTGCAGACTTGCCTCAAATTGAATATCTCACGCCAGCCAGGTGACCAGAGTTGGCAGCCCCGTGAGCTGGCTCTCTGAATTTGTAAAACATAGAGAAATGGACACAAACCTCACTGCTGTGGTACGTGTGCAGGGAATATCAGAATAATAATTTATAATATAATAATAATTATTATTATTATTAATAAAATTGTAAATGCAACATGTTGTGCGAATGTGCAAAGGACGTGGCTTGACTGGAGAACTATGGATGTTCCCGTGTACGCACACGCAGAGTGGATATGCGAGTCTTGCGCTTGTGCAGAGAAGTATGAACCGGCCTTTTGTTCTGCTGTGTCACCCACAGCCTTCCAGCCCCGCCTCTTTTCACACACCTCTGCAGCTGAAGAATGACACCCCACAGTCCGCAGTGCTTTTCTTTCATTTAACCACTTTCCCATTATGTTGGGAGCACTTCAGCAACTGAGATGCTGCTGTATCTCTTCTAATCTCTTCTTCCAGGATGGACTGAAGGCTCTTATATGCTTTTATTCCCCACTGTTATTTTCTCCTTCTGCGCCCTAGTGATGTAATGCAGCTTGCAGCCTATAGGGAGACACCCAGAACCTTTAAAACATTCTCATGTGCTTCAAGTGATACTCTTACGTTGGTTAGGACTGTATACTGACTGTTCCTGAAAAGAAGTTACCTTCCTAAAGCGACCGAGTGAGCTGTGAGACGTGTCACATGTGCCATGCATGTTCCAGTGTCTCATGTTTGTCGTGTGCTGTTTTCCAGTTAACCTCTGCTCACTGCATGCTTCATGAGAGACACCGTCCTGGTAAGGCCACCCCCTAACATCCCGTCAGTTATGTGACCTTCCAGGGTCCCAAGAACATTCACCCAGTAAGACACTTTGCCAGTGTGTTTGCCCCATAGACTCCTCAGACGCCCTTTCCTGATGGATCACACACTAATTGCCCATCACTAACCATACTGGTACTAACTGCTTTTTTACTAAACGCCCCTGAAGCTGTTCCCAGATGCCCCACACTGGTTCCCATAAAGCTTCACACTATTCACAGTCAGATCTTTCATTTTAAATGTATACTAATAGTTAAAGATGCTTCTTTCTACAGCAGTCACTAACAAAAGCAGCTTGCTAGCTGTCAGATGCAGATGATAAGCACGTGTACCAAGAACCCAACATTTATGTGTGGAATTACGGGTTTGGTTGATATTCACGCCATTATACGCTCAGTTCATCTGCAGATGTGTTGGCGTGTTAGTTTTCACCAGTGGGAGAACCTCCAGTAACCCGTCATTAACACTCTTTTTGATAACTTATACATCTGTTTTTTCCAACAGTTTGACAAAACCCAGAATAACACATAACCATTCCTGTCTCTCCCTCCCTCCCAGTTTAGGCTTCCCCTGCCGACAGTGAAAGAGCTCTCTCCCAGTCCTGCCCAAGCCTCACCCCTCCCTCACCCCCAATGTTCACTCACAGACTAGCTCACGCTGATGGAGGATGTTAGGCTTAACTGTGAAAGAAATTGTGGATGTTACTATTCAAATGTTACTGTTCACATTCTACTAGATACTGTTCTAAAGACCATTTCATGGCATGTTACACAACTTGCTTTTTAATAAACTCTTGTGTGTTATATTTTTGTGCACGTGCTGTCATATTAACAAAGCAGATGTCTGATTAGTGGGACAAGTCCTGTAGAGTGCCAGTATAATCAGGACTGGGAATCATTTTTTAGCCAGTCATTGTTTTTTAATACATGTTCATGCTCTACTTCTCCTGAAGGTGCCAGTTGCTTAAATTAATAGCAGATAAGATACCTCATTTTTGTGCCCAAATTTATTTATATAATTTATCTGGCAGTTTGGGAAAGCGAGATGTGATTACTGCACGCCTTCAGGGGACACAATGAGAATGGCTTTATTCATGTTCGGATGTTTCCAGCCATTCCTCATTGTCCCATATCTTTTTCATTGAGCTTCGTTTTTATTAGCAGGTCTTATAAGCAGATGTAAAGCTAAAAAATACCATGAACAATAAGCTCAGGTGAAAAAACACCCAACCCTGCACTCAGAATGAAAGGGATATAGACACCAGCCATTTGTATTGAAGCCCAACAGTGATGGACTCTCTGTCTGGCAATAAAACAGAAGCATTTGTAATTTTTATTACATATAGACACAGAAAAGGCACTAACAACATGGAAGAAATGAGGCAATTAAATCCAAGGCCACTGAGATTGTCCAGTGACTTGATTGTGTGTAGTTAGTTACCGGCTAGTTTAAACCAAGTTAAAGTTAAAAATCCTACCTTAATTACTAACTAGTAATGTGGTTAACATGAGACTGAGTAGATGGGATTGTGTCTCGGTTACAGTTTGCTTTGTGATCGAACAACTCTGTCCTGTTGGTTGTCTTCGCAGGGTTTCTGGTAAATCAACCCCATTTCCAAAAAAGTTGGGACGCTGTGCAAAATAAATTAAATAAAAACAGAATGCAGTGACCTGCAAATCATACCTGTTCCTAATTGAAAATAGAGCAACAACAACATATCAAATTCTGAAACAAATTTTGTAATTTTATGACAAATATATGCTAAATTTGAATTTGATGCCAGCAACACGTTTCAAAGTAGGTGATACGGGCATGTTTACCAATGTCACATCACCTATTCTTTTAACAACACTTCTTTCCTGATATAGAATTTCAACTTTGGAAACGGGATTGCATGTCACACTCCAGTGTTTCAGTTGTTTTCACTAGCAACCAATAAGAGACCACCACTACTGAACTTTCCGTGTGGAGCTTTCTGTGTGCTTGCCTTCCTTCTGGGATAAACACTGCACCCTGCTGGCCTTTTGGGACCAGCTTTTGGCTTGTGGCCAGGGTGAAGCAGAGCAGAACCCCAGTGCAGCACACAAGCCAGTCTTCCCACATCCACTCTGTTTATCTGCCGTGCTGCTCTGCTGTCTGCTCTGTCTTACTCACCATGATGTTTTCTTTCTTCTTTGTTCCTCTAAGCTCTGACTATTTCCCATAGTACTTTAATGAATTAGCCTCTCTAACTCTCTAACTTGTGGCTGACAAAATCGTGGTGTATACATGTTGATTGTTCTGTGTTGCTTGTTGCCAACATTAACCCCATTTTCTTTGGATTCTCGTGCTCCTAGGTGTAATTTTTATATCTAACCTGCCCCAGAAGGGGACTGAACCATAGCAGCTTTAACCTTTTAGATACACGTGTGACAGTTTTTACAGATCAATTAAGATGGACAACTTATCTAGCAAGAATTCTGTGTTTTATATTTTTTTCTCAAAATCAAAGTTGCTAAATAACATTCTCAGAAACTACTGGGAAGAATCATGTTTGTGAATTTTATAGATAAACATGACATAAGATGATGACTGTCCACTTTTATTAGGAGCATAAACTGAAACTTCCCCAGGGGACCTTTGACCCTTGCATTAAACTCACCAAGCATGGTTGAGCTAACTGGCTGCTCAGTCAATTAACCTGCTTTTTTGTCTCTTTGTCTACAGCTTCTTTTAATGCATCCGAAAGAGGAGATTGCAGCTTTCCCAAGAGCTAGACAGCTCTCCACTTTTCTCCTCTCCTTTTATTTAGCATAGTAATAAAACTTTTTATTCCATCTATTCAACTCAACACAACCATATGTGGGCCATACATGGTTATTTTGACTAGAGAACATTTAACTTCTCTGTAAGATACATTACAGTGAGAGAGTCTGAAGTTACTTCCCTTAAAGAGAGATTCAACACAATGATCCTCTCTTGAGCCTACAATAGTGATGGGGTCCCTCGTTGACTTAAAGCAGATACCTTTGGCTGCTGCGGACTCTTTTAACCACCCATCATGATGTTTTGCCCATTCTAGGGTTGTCATTAACAAAACTTTATCAAATGCCATGTTGGCCCCATATGGTTTTAATTTGTTTTCTAATGTCTTCCAATTACTTGTGTTCATTGTAATACATGTCAGTCTTAACTCTGCTTAAGTCTTGACTGAATCACCTTTTTCTTTTGAGTCGGACTTCCAAGTATCTTTTGTCTTTTATTTGCCAGAGTTAGGTATTCATTTTCCAATCTTTATAAATTGACAGTGATTTATATTCGTATGATATATGGATCTATTTTGTGTATGAATCCACATCAAATATTTTTTGATGTGGAGACTCCTGTAATGATTATTGATTCCAATGACGTTTTTGTGTAGCTTTGTGGTGATGTTAAATGTTATGGCATGTAAGGAACAGCCTGCAGCTGCTAAGCATGTAACAAACCACAAAGCCTGAAATATTACACTGAAGTAAGATGCCAGTAGTGTACATTTTCAATAAAACTGTTAAAAAATACAAATCTTCTTTTATCCATATGAATCCTACTGGTTCAAGAATCCAGCAAAGGGGATGGTACCTCAATTGTGGCATTACCCAAATGTGATTTAGGCACAAAAGACAGGATTTGTGAAATTATGGTAATTATGAAACATTACATAAACCATGATGTACAATGAGAAGCACTTTTACCAGCAGGGTTCGGGGTGTGAGTCCTGTTTGTGTTTTGAATTTTACTGAATGTAGCTGTTACCAGCTTTGTTATTATTTAGTGCATGTTCATTGTTTGACTTGCTTGTGTGTTTTTTAAATTGAGTTTGTGTGCTGTGCTGTGTTGGGCCCCTTGCAGTTCAATACCAACATTACGTTGCAGCCTATTAGAGATCTTCAATTCAGTGACTGTCTTGCAGGGAGCTCAGTGAGTAGGTCCCTTTATGGAATATTCTGGTTAAAAAGTGCTGTACCCTATATAATAATAATCATTATTATTATTTAAATAATACAAAAAACAAATTTCCATGAGTGAAACAGGCATTGGTCCACATAGCATAATGTACTCCACTATCATCCAGGGCCTTCAGGTTCCAAAAAAACATCTTGTGGCTGGTGATATTTTCAAGATGGGACCAGGATCGTTTAAAAAACTCATGCCATGAGTGAAACAAATACGTTTGTACTTGTATATATAAACATATTAACTAGCCACTATTAAAACGTATAATAATAATCAGAACAGTCTCGAACTACATGCCCATGCACTTGTGAGAGTGAGAAATGCACTCTGAGCCAGTAATGAATAACAATTAAATACTGCTAAATTAAGTGGGTTGTACTAAAAATTAAGCAGGCACCAAAGTACGATGTAGTTCGATGTATTTTCAGTGGTGTTTTGCAACAAGATACACACTATCTTCCAGGATATCTTAATTCAGCGGAATTTTTAAGCTGTTAATATATAATATCCACGTTGTATCCACTATAATAGCTCTCCAATCATCCCCGCTACTAGCCCTGGAATGATACACCTCCTACCATCCTTGCTATAATCCCTCCTATAATATCCCCCGCTATCATAACTGCTACCAACCCTCCTATGATATCCCTCATAATCATATGATATCGTACATTCCTACAACCCTTGCTATCGCCCCTGTTATGATATCTTTGCTATCTTCACCACTATAATCCCTTCTATCAGTCGCGTGCTGCTGCTGCTTCTTTCCAGAATGGAGCAAGCGGACATGCGGTGCTTCTGAGGCACAGACGTGACGGGTGGCGGCGCGCTTGGGCGCGTTTCAGTACGCCTGCTGGCGCAGCGATCCTGCACATCGCGGCGCTACGGACCGCACAAACCGCTGAACCGCCATTCCCCGGCGGCCGTCCGTCTCCACGGTAAGTCCCGCCGTCTCACAGGCCGCCTCGGCCACGCAGCTGGAACCCAGCGACTGGAGAACCGCAGCCAGTCGCGAGGGTCGCACTGTGGACCTGCTGGGGTTCTGCCGCGTTAAATATGGCGTGGCTCCGGCGCCGGTGATGCTAGCCTGTTATCCGCCTAGCTTGCAAGCCTGTTATCCGCCTAGCTTGCAAGCCGGTTAGCCTGACTAGCAGCTAGCCTGCTAGCCGACTAGCCTGCTAGCCGAGGCTGCGGAGACTGCGTCACTTGGCCAAACCGATCGTCCGGCGTGCTAGTGCGTTAAGATGCGGATGATTGCGGAGTTTTCTTGACGCCGGCAACGATTTCTTGAAAACGTGTAGCTTCGGTGCCTTGAGAAGGAACAGAAAACAAAGCCTTAACGTGTGCCCGTGATGGCGGCCGGCCGACGGGTCATTGAGGTAGTCAGCTGCGTTGAATGCAACCTATGATTTAACATGGCTTTTAAAGTGGGGAATTTGGTGTAACCCTAGCATAAAAGTCAGATGTGGTGTAAATTTAGTGGTAAACGATGCCAGTTTTGACGCATTTGGTGTTGATACCCACAATGCTCCGCGCCGTTTAGCATTTCGCGGCGACTCTTAGGATAATAATCTGTTTGTTGCCGTTCATAATTAAGCATATTTATTAATAATAAGAATAATAATAATAACGTACATACGTTCTTTTCGATGATGTGAAATGTGCATGGCTGCAGGTGAGAATGCCGTTCGACGGCTTTGAAAACATTTATTGGGCTGACTCAACGTTATTGTTGATGCTTTAATCAAGCGTATTATTGATTGTTAAATAACTAAGTAGTTATAGGGGAGTGCATTGGGCATAAATAAGGATGAAGTGTGCGTGTGTTTTAAGGGTAGGTATTTAGCCAGTGACAGCGTGAGGGGACCAACATAGACTCTGGGTCCCCATAACATAAACATAGGCCCAGATACAGGTCATTCCCGCAGGCGTACTGGAGTCCTCGATAAAATGTATTCGTGCATAATTTAATAAAAGCAGAAAGTAGCCTATTACTCCAAGTTTCCCTGTGTGACAGCATATGCAGAATAACTTTTAAAGCATGAGATATACTTCACGTGTTGCCGGGTATCGTTTAAAAAGCCGCACGATTTTACTACGCTGTCCTATTCAGAATGTAAAAAGGCATGACCTGAAAAAGGTGCCGTTTGTCCTTCTCTTGGAACCAGAGAGGAGTGCAGCATGTGGTACATAAGCACGGGTTAATGCTTATCCCCTACAGATCTCATTGCTAGCCAATCATGGATCATTTGGTTTGAATGTGATGCGAGTGATAGTCCATACAGTACATACCGGACCTCAAAGATTATTTTAGTTTTCCTTTGGCTGCATGGATCAGAAAACAACGCTGAAAGGTGCCTTGTTTTTGTCACATTGGGAAAAGTCTTGGAAGCAGATTGCAATGAAGTTTGATATATGATTCTTATTTTTCATAGTTCATGTCTTACATAGTAGCTGTCATCAATTTAGCAAACCGAGATGTAGCATAGATATTACGGTAACGTTGTTGGAAGTATGAAACTGCTGCCCCGGTGTCAGCTGAGACATCTCTCAGCGGTGTCATTTTAATGCAATGATCGGTTAGATGTCGTGAGCCCTTAAGAAGTGTGTCTGCGAAGTCTAAACTTCATTCTCTGAGAAGATGCGGTCACTAGGACCCAGGGTAAACAAACTCTTGCTTTGTTTATAACATGGATGGAATACTAATGGATTCTATATATAAAAAAAAAATACAGTGATTGGTATCACTTTAAAATAGTTCCCTTTTGCCACTTGTAAATGGTAGTAACTCATTAATAAAAAAACTGTTATTACTTGTTTAAAATTGTCTTAATAATTTACAGTGTTACAACCTAATTAATAAGGTTATAAACCATTCATAAACCCTTTATATGGATAGCCTTATTGTAAAGTGGCACCCCCTAATTTTAACGCACAATAAAAGGTATATTGATATAAGCAGTATTATGTTGTCCTATATTTTGTTTGAAAATATATCCATATACTGTGAAAATTTGATGTACTGCTCAGCCCTATGCGACTGCAAAAGTTGTTGATGGGTCAGTTTAAAGTCTGATACATTTATTAAACATAAAGATATGCCGAATTTATACTGATTACCAACTTTTGGGCATTATAAAATGACTCATTAATATTTTAGCCGTACTACTAATCTGCTAAACAAATTGTGGGCGTAAATAAGTGTCCAAATAGCACTGAAAAGCTGGTGTCCCGCTAAATGTTTTCCCCTCATCTGAAGCACTGGTGATTATTGCATATGCACAATATAATATTGATTTGATATCACCCGGCCCTAGCAGCAAGGATGTGTAGGTTTGTAAGTGTCACTATAATGTAATACCTGTCTGTGAGGACGGCGAACACAGCTTTTCATACGACTAGATTACATTTGTGCAGATACTGGGTGGGGATGTCTGTACTAAAACACAGCCCTTTCTCTGAAGGTATGGCCCACAACTGATGCTGAAGGTGCTGGCGATGGCAGAAGGGCTTCATGTTGGCACGATGCCCTCTACTCAGCTGGCTGCAGGAGCTGAAGCAAAAAAAAGGCCGGGTACATCAGATGGCAGTGAGTCCCTCCTCCTCCTCCTCCTCCTCCTCCTCCTATTAACCAGTCCGGCTGTGGTCACGATCTCGGGGTGATGTCACTCTGAATTATGATCTCTCGCTTTCAGGGGAAGAGCCGGTGAGGAAGATGCCTGTGTCCAAGTTTGGTCCCAGACCACGATTTGAGCCCGTACACTTTGTGAGCAGCGGCGTGGGCGGAGGAACTATTGGCAGCACCGACGAGAAGGAGAACGAGAAGGACCGCAGGAGAGGGGAGGTGTACGGCACCAGGCAGAGGGATGCCAACAACCCCAGTTTCCACGGAGGCAGGCCCTACGGGTCGCCTGCTGCGTACCCTGCCTTCCGCAGAGCAGTGTCTTACACACCTGACCCCTGGCATGAGCAGGGGGACAGGGACTTGGTTGCTGGCGGCACGACCGGCCTGGGCTTCGGGAGCAGGGGGTCCGGCTCAAACTTTATGAGCCGTATGCAGCAGGACTACATGGGGCGGCCTGAGATGCCTGGTGCCAGGCAGTCTGGGTACCCCTCCCAGGTACACAGGTTTGATGAGTACACAGGGCCTCGTTCCGGTACCTGGGATTCAGGACGGCAGGGTTTTGGGTACCAGGACAGGCCTTCATCTAGCCGGGCTATTAGCAGAGTGTATGGAAGTTCATCTTCCCAGCCTACTTCTGGTAATCTTGCCCCTATTACCCAGTCCACACTGGATGAGAAGCAGAGGCTCATCGCCAGGGTGACATCTGCCTTAATGGCCACTTTTAAAGACCCCTCATGCATGAATGGCCCAGACACGACAAACTACAACTTCATTCTCAGCCGCAGCATCCAGGCCTGTAAGACGAACCCGGAGTACATCTACGTCAACCTGAAGGACATCCCACCCGCGGACCTACCCAGGAACCGCAAGGTGCCCTCGGATGGCTATGCCTGTGAACTGCGTTGTCAGTGTGTGTATCTGGCCACTGGCTACTCGGGCAGTAAGAACGGAGCTCGGGACCGGGCATCTGAGCAGGCCGTCAAGCTCTTTATGAAGCCTGTGGAGGTGCGGGTGGTCCAGCGCCGGTACAGGCACACGTACGTTAATGACATGGTGGTATGCCAAGTACATTCCCCAACGCCTTCCTTCCTGCCTGCCCTGCGCAATCCTGAGGAAAAGCCGCCCCCGAGCTCTAGGGGCCAATACGAGCACGACAAGCGCAAACACTGGTCTGAGTTCGTGATCGTGGACAACGCTCATGATGCCATCTGCATACTCAACAACTCCGCCGCCTTCAACCGAATGAAGATAGATTACAAGTTCGATCTCCTGCCCAACAGCAGCACATGGAGGTGCAGTGTCTACCTACAGGATGAGCTGGTGGCCCAGGCCAATGGAAACAAGAAGACCTCCAAGCACGCAGCAGCTGAGGAAGCCCTACGGAAGCTGCGTATGAACCAAGCGGCCAAGCAGCAGCAGCAGTTTTCTAGAGGAAACCACTACGAAGCTCCGGGGGGGCGCTATGGCACTCGCAAGAAGCACTTAAGCGAGCTTGTCATCCTAGAAAACTCGGATAACGCCATCTGCATCATCAACGACACAGCCCAGTTCAACAAGGTCGCAGCTGACTACAAGTTTGCAGTTCTGCCGGATCACCGCTGGAAGTGTGATGTGTATCTAGAGGGCCAGTACGTAGCCTCCGGGATAGGGCCAAAGAAGACGGTGAAGCACATTGCAGCTGAGGAAGCCTTGGCCACCTTACGGCAGACACAGGCTGTAGTGAAGTCCAACCTGAGAAAGGAGGGCAACGTCGATGTCATTTCCCGCAACCAGATCCTTGCCCGTGTTGGGGAAGACGCGTCACGGCAAGAGATCAAGGAGGACAACATTGGGAACCAAATGTTACGCAAGATGGGCTGGAAGGGTGGCGGGCTCGGCCGGGATGGGGAGGGCATCGCAGAGCCGATCCGAGTGAAAGAGCAGTTCTCCAGGGAAGGGCTGGGCTTGGATGCAGACAAACCAGGCAATCAGCTTAGCAAGAAGGACATCGAGGACATTATCCGTGAATACGCCAGCTCGGATCGGCAGGACGACCTGCGCTTCTCCACAGAACTGAATAATGATGAGCGCAAGCAGATCCATCAGGTGTCGCAGAAGTATGGCCTGCGCAGCAAGTCCTATGGTCAGGGCCGCCAGCGTTTCCTCATTGTTAGTCGTAAAGTGCACAAGGACCAGCTGATTGACCAGCTCCTACAGGAGGGCCAGGTTGGCCGTTACGAGCTCGTGAAACCTCAGGCCTCGCATTGACTTACCAAAACGTTCTAGGATGGCACAAGGCTGCTACAGGAAAAACTTTGTGAAGCTCGTGGCTAGACATTTCTGCTTTATACAAAGTAACGGCGTATTCCGAAGGCGTGTGACTTTCGGAAAGCCCTCCGTTCTGTATTCCTCGTCCTACAGAAGTGAAGAATGAGTGATGTGCTTACCAGAGGCAAATTTGTATTTATTTTTGTATGGGTCTGCTCTCCTTCTGTCCATCTCTAAAGCTGTCATTCCACTAGTCAAAGTTCAACCTGCTGTAGCTGTTGCCCTTTTGTTCTCGTATGAAGATGAAGTGGAAATGTTATGGTTAGTCTTCTCACACGAGCCACCTTTTACAAGACCAGCTTCCCTGTGAATTGCATTTGAAGTCATTGACCTTTCACCTCATATTAAAGTGACTGATAGCATTGATGATCAGCTCTTTAACTGTGGGTTGCCTGGGATCTTAACCCAGTTCCCTAGGTAGGTATTCCCTGTAGAGGGAAACTCACATTGGTTATTGGCATGTTAAAGACCGGGCTTGGACCTTGATGTTGAAGATGGGGGGGGGGAAAAAGAGAATAACCTGACATGTAAAAATGGCAACATCATTCTCTGCTGTTTTATGTTCTCTGTACAAGTGGAAGGTAAAGGTTGTGTTAAAGTCAAGGCTGCCTGTGAGTTGGCCACTTTGATTCCGGTCTGCTGTACTGTCCGTTTGTTAAGTTTCAGTGAATACAGATGACCCTTCTGTTTCTACAGCTGTATTAACTATTAATAACAAATAAATATATCACTGAAGCGATTAAGCAGAATGGCTTTGCTGTGTTGCGCATCTGAACCCAGGATGGCAGCATGTGAGTTTGTTGCGGAGTGAAGCTAACTTAATACATTCAAGGCATTTCAGTGCCCGCTTGGGACACAGCCTGCAGTGTTTTACTGGGGTACACAGTCTGCTTTGAACAAGAATCGCATGAAGACCTCTGTTTGCAGTGCAGCTTCCTGCTGCCATGGCTGCAACCACCCAAACCCCATATCAGATTTTTTTTTATATTTACAAGAAAAGTTTGTTATATGTTTAACAGTGAAATCTCAGTATCCTACAGAGTTCATGTGCAGATGACACACAGGAGGTTATGGAACAGAACAGGTGAAAAAATGACTTCTGGAGAAATTCACAAACCCACAACAGTGCATGAGATTGACTTTGACTCTGGGTGCAGCTAAGCATGTGAGCCAAGACCCTGATTTATTACATGTACCCATAACAGCACATGTTGAGACTTTAAATACTATTAACTCAGGTTGACATTTCTAGTGCAGAGAGTAAGAGTGTCACTTTTTCAGTAAGATTCAGAATTTCATATGTGAATGAACATGAATTCAGGGCAAGTATAACCCTAATCTCACCTTGAAAGTGAGCTCGAAATAAATTCCTGGGGCCAATAGGTCTGACGGTCTCTGGAGTTCAGGTGACAGGGACATTGAGGTATTTTTTTTTATCAACTTCCAGGGCAAATTCAGATAGTGAGAGGTCAGTCCAGGGCCAGGAGCATGGTGTTGGTCGGGGGGTGTGGATTTGTAGACTGAAGATTTGTAGACCGTACATTTTTCCAGAGAAGGTCATACTGTGCTTCCTGTGGTCCGGCTGCTAGCAGTCGTGCCAGCTCTCCTCCACAATGGCGGAAACTCATCTCTTGTACTTGTGCTTATTGTCCCAGTCGAGCTACATGACTTGCCTAGGCTGGCTCATCCAGCAGGGACTGCGGAGTGGGAAGATATTACTACCTTTAAGGGTAGTATTTCTCAGCCCAGTCCTCGGAGACCTCCAGACTGTGCACATTATTGCCCCCGGCCAGCTCCCAGCACACCTGAACCAAACAAAGAAGAACACCAAATACCTGGTACAGGTGCGCTGGGAGCTGGGAGGGAACAAAAATGTGGACTGTCTGCAGGTCTCTGAGAACTGGGTTGAGGAATACTGCCTAAAACAGGGATCCCCAAATCCGGTCCTGGAGGGCTAGTCTGTGACACAGTTTGCAGATTTCCCTGCTCACCTTATTCAGCTCACCAGCTTATTGATGTTTAGCATGCATATTTGAGCAGGGAAGTCTGCAGACTAACCCTCCAGGACTGGAACTGAGGAAACCTGGCCTAAAGAGATGACAGCCTTTACTGTAGGTTTGGAGTTCCTGGTACTGGTGGTCTCACAAAAGCATGGATTTGGGCAAAAGCAGACAAGCAAAATGCTGATACTAAAGGAACCTAGGGGGACGGAAGCAGCAGCTGTTACAGCCCTCTGGCCTCACCTGGCTAAATAATTTATCAGGCAGTGAGCGGACAGCCCAGCAGCCCCCCCCCGCCTGCACTGCAGGGCCCAGTCCCACGCAGCACATTTCCACTGGTGGCCCTTTCTGTGAAAATCTGCCATGAATTTCACACAAAAGCAGAAATCTTGTTTTTGAAATTCTAGTGTTGAGTACGAAATTGGGATATTGTGTAGCCATTATGAAATTGAAAGGGGGAGACCATCAGCGCAGCTTCCAGCCTGGGGGGACAGAGTGGTGGATACCCGTATAGATGTCAGGATCGAAGATCCGTCGTAGGTGGGACTCCAGCGGTTCTGAAGAATATCTAAGCGAATGCTGCCATCTGCACAGACTGGGAAAAGAGCTGAAACAGTGATGTTTAAGAGGACAGCTCATTTTGAATTTTTACATTCCTAGCACAAGAGTACCTAGGGGGGCGCTGTGTGACTCAGCTGGTTAGGACACTGGGACTGATCGGAAGGTCATTGGTTCAAATCCCAGCATCAGCAGCAGTGATTTCATTGCCCTTGAACAAAACCCTTATCCCCAACTGCTCCCTGCTTTCTTGAGAGGGAATGATTTGGATAAAGTATCTGCTAAATAGCAGCGTAAGTGTAATCTAAAGACAGTTTTGGATTGTCACACTGCATGGAACCATAAGTGACAGGATGCAGACTACTCACCATTTGGATGGAGCAAATCCTATAATGAGATAGAAGGTCCCTCAAATGCGAGAATTCAGACCAAAACAATGTGTAACAACATCTGCTCTCTAACTCCAAATTTATTACATTTAGCTGTAGGGAAACTGGCTTAGAAATTAGATTTTGTTTGATCTTTATTCTGGACAATTGGCAAGCGGAGTAGATCAAGCAGACAGAGTTCTGTGGCACCACCTCCGAGCCCGGTGAACCAGAACCGGATCGACGCCTTAACAGATGTCAGTCAATACATGGCTCTATTAACAAGCGAAAACAGAAGCAGCTTCCTTCTCCTTGGGTTACAGAAAGATATAGAACAGCACATGAATGACGGACACTTCCTTCATAGGGCCTAGGGGGGCGCTATCCCCTCCAGCCATGAGGAACACAGGGTACAGGTGTTACAAGGACTAGACAGAACTTCGCAACAGTGACAGCAGACAGGCCTGGGTGAACCTAACCTTAATGCTAAGCCCAACCCTCTAAGATTAAACCGATAGACAGATATGACTTAACATGCCACAACTGAATCACTGCTCACTGATTAGCGAGAGAAAGGGAGGCCGTATGAAGCACAAAGGGGGAGCAGCAGGTAAGGATCTGTTAAAATAACATCAGCTGTATTTAACATTTCACCCATTTCATTGTATTATTCTGGATAAAGACCTAGGCTGAGTAGGACCCAGACTTAAGACCCAGATGCTGGACATTCCAGGACATGCCCTGGATTTAACAGTCCTACTCTCACTGAGGCCACTAAAGTCACACAAGCAATTAAAGCAGAAGGATATATATTGATTGAATTAGGGGTGGACACCGACAAGATTGATTTTTTTTGTATAGTGTATAAATTATACATTAAATCGACCATTCTGCTACAATTTCAACTCACCATCTCCGAAAGGTGTTCCCTCAACCTTATGAAAATAAAGAATAAAGAATCACTGACCTACGCTACTGCTCACACAAAACTCCTTCATTGATGATCAGCTGCACTATCGTGCATTACTCACTCCATACTGACAGCACAAACGTAAGACGAGCCGAAGTGCGGACACACAGACTCACGGTTTGGCTCAGCTCGGTTTACCCCGACACTCAGCCGAAGATCACTGCGTCCACAGCATGATGTTCTCGGATGGAGCTCCACTCACCCCGGCTGGCAGGTCCTCCTGCAGTTTGCCGTTTTCATGGGACAGTAGAGCTCATGAACGATCACACAAACCCCTCACTCAGTCCTGTTCGCACGACAATCAATCACCGGCTTTAGCCAGCTAGCCTTAGCCTCTCCAGCCCCATAGCTAAAGTCTCTCATCGAGCGCTGCCTTGCCGGAGTGGATCGGCAAGGCGCCGAACCCGGATATACACTGTTCACGGTCTAATGTCCCGAACAGAGCCCCCGACCCGCTAGCTTTACCAGCGACCAAACCACGACCGGGGCTGTACCATCCGCTCCGACCCGGGGTGCATGACCGTACCATCTGATACGAAGGGGGTCTGGAGTCACCTGTGAATGAATCACGTCGTTCGATGGAGCGGTTATGGTTAAAAAAAAGTCTTTTATGATGTAACCCAGCTAGTAAGCTTGAAAATTAGTTGATTGTGAAGCAATAAATGTTATCAGACATACAAAATAAAAATACACTGCTCAAAAAAATTAAAGGAACGCTTATTAATCAGAGTATAGCATCAAGTAAAAACTTGGATATTCATCCCGTCAGTAGCAGAGGGGGTTGTTAATCAGTTTCAGCTGCTTTGGTGTTAATGAAATTAACAACAGGTGCACTAGAGGGGCAACAACGAGACGACCCCCAAAACAGGAATGGTTTAACAGGTGGGGCCACTGACATTTTTCCGTCTTAATCTCTTCTGACAGTTTTTTCAGTAGTTTTGCATTTGGCTACAGTCAGTGTCACTACTGGTAGCATGAAGCGATACCTGGACCCCACAGAGGTTGCACAGGCAGTCTGACTCCTCCAGGATGGTGCATATTGATGTGTCATTGCCATTAGTTTTGCTGTGTCTCCCAGCACAGTCTCAAGGGCATGGAGGAGATTCCAGGAGACAGGCAGTTACTCTAGGAGAGATGGACAGGGTCGTAGAAGGTCCTTAACTCATCAGCAGGATTGGTATCTGCTCCTTTGAGCAAGGAGGAACAGGATGAGCACTGCCAGAGCCCTACAAAATGACCTCCAGCAGGCCACTGGTGTGAATGTCTCTGACCAAACAATCAGAAACAGGCTTCATGAAGGTGGCCTGAGGGCCCGACACCCTCTAGTGGGCCCTGTGCTCACTGCCCGGCACCGTGGAGCTCGATTGGCATTTGCCATAGAATACCAGAATTGGCAGGTCTGTCACTGGTGCCCTGTGCTTTTCACAGATGAGAGCAGGTTCACCCTGAGCACATGTGACAGACGTGAAAAGGTCTGGAGAAGCTGCGGAGAACATTATGCTGCCTGTAACATTGTTCAGCATGATCGGTTTGGTGGGGGGTCAGTGATGGTCTGGGGAGGCATATCCATGGAGGGACACACAGACCTCTACAGGCTAGACGACGGGACCTTGACTGCCATTAGGTATCGGGATGAAGTCTTTGGACCCATTGTCAGACCCTACTCTGGAGCAGTGGGTCCTGGGTTCCTCCTGGTGCACGACAATGCCCGGCCTCATGTGGCGAGAGTATGCAGGCAGTTCCTGGAGCATGAAGGAATTGATACCATTGACTGGCCCCCACGTTTACATGACCTAAATCCAATAGAACACCTCTGGGACATTATGTTTCGGTCCATCCGACACCACCAGGTTGCACCTCAGACTGTCCAGGAGCTGACAGGAGTGATGCCCTGGTCCAGATCTGGGAGGAGATCCCCCAGGACACCATCCATCATCTCATTAGGAGGATGCCCTGACATTGTTAGGCATGCATACAAGCACATGGGGGCCATACAAACTACTGAGTACGATTTTGATTTGCTGCAATGAATTTTCAGCAAAATGGACTAGCCTGCTGCATCATTTTTTCACTTAGATTTTCAGGGTGTCTTTGAATTCAGCCCTCTGTAGGTTTGTAATTTTCATTTCCATCAAACGATGTGGCATCCCTTCACTCTTAACACATCACCCAGTTCATATCAGTATAGATATCCAGCAGGATTTTTTCCCCCATTGAAATCTGATGCGTTTTCAAAGTGTTCCTTTAATTTTTTTGAGCAGTGTATATTAAATATACGGAGATTAATGGGCAAAATTCAAAAGTAAAACTGCCAGTCATTTTAAATGTTTAAAGATTAGTAAGGTATTGTGGCGAGGGGAGAAAAGACAGGAGACGGCATCTTCTCGTGAAAAAGAGTTTAAAATTTTATTAATAACATAAAAATGAGAAAAGGAGCATATCCGGTTGCCACTAAAGCGTAAAAAACTTAGAAGTAAAAGCACATCTGCCCTTGGAACTATGAACCCGCTACAGTATCCAGCAAATGACATTTACAGATATCTATTCAAGTCAGAGAACAAAAAATAAATAGTAGATTTGTAACATTTTATTGCCACACAAACCTGATTTTAATGTACCAACTTAAATATCCACCTTTCCATCTTACACCCATTTATTATGGAACCTATTTCATGTGGCACAGGGTCAGAGCTCGCTGCTCTCATGCATCTGGTATGACAGTCACACTTCCAGACTCTCACACTCACCCAAGAAATCTTACAGCAAATCTATATTATTCTATTATAAACCTAAAATTTGCTACATCACATGTGTTGGGGTAGTTTGCAACCCCTACAGATAATTTACAAGGTAAAACTGCTACATACATGGAAATGCATGTGCATGTGTGCTGCAGACTTGTTTAGAATCTCACACCAACCAGCTGAGCAAAGCTGGCAACCCTGCAGGAGTTGGACTGCAGGAGGAAATCTACACGACAGGGGAATACGCCAAGCTCACAGACAAACAGAGGATTCACATTTACAATCCTGGGGATTGTAGGATTTACAATCTTACACAATCCTGAAAATCATTTCATTTCATTCCCTTCTGATGCAGGGACAAAGTGGGCTCCAGTGGGCTCCTGAAACAGTTTGCTTGGAATTACAGCAGCAAAAATGCAAATTGCTACAGTCAATCATCCCTACTCAAAGAAACATTAAAAGGCATAAATATTCTGACCTGAATAATGATGGCACAGATGAACATTCTTGCAATGACATTTGCTTTGGTTAGAAACTTCTGATTATTTGGCTCTGCCTTTATGAAAATATCACAGTTTCATATACAGGAAGTTCTCGACTCTTGGAAGTAATCCATTTCACAAACCCTTCCATAAGCTGATTTACCTTCCCAAACCACTCAAGAAACCTTATAGCAAAAAACAAATAAGCTACATTATACTGGTAATACACACTAAAGAGTGCACATTACATAAATAAAAATAAAATATATTTCCATTTGGCTTTTTTGCCTTAGCGCTTCCACAAACTAAGTCCAGATTTACATGAATGGGTTTCAGCCAAGTCCAGAACTGCCTGTGTATATATTAAATGTTTCCTATTCTGTGTCCATACTGTATACTGGACACATGAACGGTTTTCACAACATACAACCCTACTTTTACATCGGTACAAAAGACAGATTTTCTCTGGGGGCACTTTGTTGTATCTTGTTGGTCAGATTTAGTCCTGAACCATTATAGTTAAAGTTTGTGTTGTCCGCTCTTTTGTAGCTCTTCCACTCACAGAGAACTCTTAAGCAGTTCCCCAGTCTTTGAATGTAACTCTCTGTCGCCAGAAAACAGCTTCCTCAGCAGGAGTGACAGCAGCTTCTATGAGAGGAAAGAGCCACCATCTATTCAACTGTCCACCAAGCTGGACTTGGCCGGAATCACTGCGAAAACTTCAGCTGTGAAAACACGCTACTCACATACACCAGCTTCTTGTTCTCCTGAGCATCCTGGAGGAGTTCAAATGCAGATTTCACGTTACTCTTCAAGATCCACGGGGCTAAAGAATAGGGAATAAGTGAGCCTGTTTAAACCTGTGGATAGCCCAAAGGTCTGTGAGGCATAAGATGTGTCAGAGTCAGCTAAGAGGCACAAACATTTGGCAATGAGTAGACTGTAGGCCTTCTCCTTCATCTTGTTTTTCTCCTCGCTGGTTGATGGGGATCCCTGAACTGCTGGGACCCCCTTGGGCCACCGTGTCTCCCGCAGGCTGTCAAGGTAAGATGCCACCTGGGTGTCTGTGAGTTTCAGGATGTCTAAGACGCTGGTCAATTTCCTGCAGCGATGGAGAGAGACGTGAGTCCTGCTGTCTGTATTTCCCATAATCCTCTAGCTTACCCTGTGTCGTGTGGAAGAACCTACTTCAGCACCAGTGGCCTAAGCATTGTCGATAAGGTTTTCAGTGTCAATATACACCAGGAATTACCTGCAGAAAAATAAAGAGAGTGAGAGTGAAGAAAGACATGGTCATGCTTTGGTCACACTGTCCCTCCAGTTTAGCTGAGGAATGGTTGACTGAAAGCTTCACTCCAACAAAGGAGACAGTATGCAACAGATATCACAGTCGCACCTTCATTACTTCTATTCATTACTGTCATAATGAAGTGATGGGAATGAGCCCTTACACCCAATTCTTAACTTTAGTGGAATATCTGTGTGTATGAATCTGAGAATGACATAAGGGGTGTAAGTGATGATACATGATGGTGCGGGAGATACAAACTGAAAATCTCCATCAGCAGATCCATGAGAGCTTTCATTAGCTCGTCCACACTCCTGTGTTGTGAGGCTGCCTTTTCCTCCCGCTTGGGCCCATGCTCCTTAGCTTCTTTCCCATGGATGCCCACTGACATGCTGGCTGATGGGTTACTCTTTTCATTAGTCTTGCTGCCCTCATCCTGGCTGAGAGAGCACAGTAACGGCGTGGGAACTACAGCGGGCTGCTCTGTGCACCGGTCTGTGCCCCCATCGGCAGGTTGGTTTGTAGGCTGGTTTATGCCCTGCTTGGAAAATTGGTCTATGCCTTGTTTAACAGGCTGCTCTGTGCCCTGGTAGGAAAACTGGTCTGTGCCCCGGTTAGGACACCAATCCGGGGGCAGGTCCGTGCCCTGCTTAGCAGGCGGGTCAGGTGGCTGGTCAGTGCCCAGGTTAGCAGGCGGGTCAGGTGGCTGGTCAGTGCCCAGGTTAGCAGGCGGGTCAGGTGGCTGNTCAGGTGGCTGGTCAGTGCCCAGGTTAGCAGGCGGGTCAGGTGGCTGGTCAGTGCCCAGGTTAGCAGGCGGGTCAGGTGGCTGGTCAGTGCCCGGTCCTCTTGGCTCACTTGTGCTCTGTTTTGCTTGCTGGTCCAGACTGCAGGCTGAACCAGAGGAGTCATGTATAAACTGATTGCTGGAGGTGTCTGATCTGCTTATGGAGGAGTCCATATTTGGTAGTTTCTTGGCACATTCGTAGACCTTCTGCACCCCTTCATCTTCACAGGTCCCCGAGGATTCTGTGGGGGGCTCAGGGCTTCCCCCGGGTCGTCTCCTGTTCCCATCTTGGTCTGTCTTCATGTGAGCGACACTCTGAAAATCGAGAAGTGCTAAAATCAAAAACTTACTGCCATATGCCTGTAATACACGGCAAACTATAAGCACAGAAGCAGATGGCCATTACTGCGGTGGCTTATAAGAGTTTGCAAGTGAAGTTTCGCAATTTACTGTGGTTTATACCAGCTTGGATGGATAACACATGGGAGGTGGTCTTCTAAAGACTTAAATAAAGTTGTGAAATTATGCCTTTTTAAGGTACGGCTAGACAAGAGTTACAGAAGGACACGGGTGTGATGAATTTTGAGACAGATGGACGGCGCACCTCCTCATCATCCAGGGTGGAGCTGAATAAGGAAGGCAGCTTGTCCAGCAGATCACACAGGCTGTCGCAGAATGGGTTGAAGAGCAATTGGAAGACTTCCTGACTCTGGCCAACCTCACTCTAAAAGACATGGAAAGGCACCCATGTCATTCAGCAGCATTAACTAGCAGAATTAGCTAATAAGTCAGTCATTAAACTGGCATGACATGCAGCTTACATAAAATATACACAGAAAGAAAAGAGCTATGACTTCTGCAGGCTTTTCTAATTCCCATTCAGTTAGCAACTGACTTACAACCAGAACACTGAGGTAGCTGTCAAGTGACGAGATTATTACTTCAATTAAATAATTATAAGGCAGTAGGCGGAAAGCAAGGCCCCTGGGGGCCCCCACCCTGCTGTCTTTCAGCAGTTAGGCTGCATTCCATTTGGACTCTGAAGCTGGAAACTTCAACTGGAACGCCTTCTGAAGAACCTCTGCAACCCCAAGCTCAGAATTCAAGATGGCTGCACCCTTTATCAACAGAAGTTAAAGCTGTAGCTTTATACTGTTTATTAGCACTTATGTCTTTATATGTGGCTCATTAAATCAGTCGTACACACAGTACTGTCCAACCGCTATCTGTGGACATGTTGTTACGGTGTTTTTATGTGCAAAATACAATGTAATGAGTTGATATCCACTGATATTGCTAACAATGGCTAACAATGAAACTAGATCGAAGTGGGGGCTGTTTCAGAAAGCAGATAGTTTGGCGGATTTAAGGTAGTCTGAGCTAAATGTAAGTGAACGAACATAAAGGTCATTTAAACTAGGGTACCTTAAAGAAGACAAGTTATTCGGCTAAGAAATCTTGCACAGGTCCCTGGTATTGCTGAATAACTTTCTCAATTGTTGTAACTGGAACGCAGTTAACTCAGGTGTGACGTCATTCCCAGCTCTGAGGTACATGGAATGCAGCATTATCCCTACATGGTCCCTGAGGGGCACGTGCGTACCTGTAGGAAATTCTCCAGTTTGGCTCTGGCCTCCTCTTTGAACTTGTCATCCAAAATTCTGTGTGTGCTTTCCAACACGTCAGGTAGGGGGAGCAGATGAGCTGAGTCCTGGGAAAAGAGTGACCAGGCAGTAGCCAGAAACATAATATGTTGATTTAGCTACAACCTGCAAAACATGGTTCCCAAAATAGGGAAGAAAAACCAAGTACATATACTGGTCAAATTTAAAAATGAATTAAAAACATGGAGAGGATTGGTACTTATGGAGGGATTATTCTGACTTAAATAAAGGTGTGCATTAATAAATATATTGTGAAATATTGTGAAATGTGACAATAAATTAATGATAATAATGAAATGAATGATAATAATCTTCCTGTTTTTAGTTATCTATTTATTGCTAGTTTATTTATTCAACTATTTCAATAATGCCACAAATGACATGAAATTAGCCTTGAAATGCAAACTGTCACTTTCACCCATCAATGTTTTAGTGTTAGTAATGTCACACTAATTGCCATATGTAAGCACACAAAAATCACATAAATATTGGCTGCACTATTATCTGTGGTTTTGGCTATCCACAGCAGGTCTCGGAGCATAGCCCCCAGAACAGCTTACTAGGACTGCTACAAAAATTGCTTATTATTCCAGATGAAATGGGTGCTGCTGATAATATGAGACTTCAGAGAGCAAACTGAAACTGCAATGGTGCCGGTTCTTCCTAAGTAAAACATTGATAAAAATGTGTTTGCAAACTTCTGCAGTGGAGCAGGTTACAAATGAGAATATCTGATGGCAGCATAACCCACCTTGGCATACGCTTCCTAAAAGCACAGTTGCCAACTGAATGGGTACAACCATGCAAGTCGCTATCAGGATCTTTTGGGAATCGAGCCCCTGGACAGCCATCCTGTGAAGCTGCTTAGTAAAGTAATTCAGGGCAACTTTTCCTTACACTCATATCCACCTGAGGTTTTATCTGTGGCTCATTGCTCGACTGCTCCAAACCACAGCCACTAGAGACAGGTGTCTTTGGAAGCACTTAGACAATCACAGAGACCTCCGCATCTAGATGAGTGAAAGTGACAGTTTGCATTTCAAGGCTTATTTCATGTCATGTGCAGCATCATTGAAACAAACAAAAAAAAAACATAAATAAACTGAAACAGGAAGAAAAACAATTCTTATACAGTGGTACCTCAGTACTCGAACTCATTAGAATTTGAATTTCTTAAAAGTCGAACCAACCAGTTCAAAAAGAAAAAAATGACCTAGAGCTCTATCTGAATCTCAGAAGTCAAACCGTGAGCGCCGACCTAAGATAACTTGTACGCGCGGGGAAATGAGTCACGCGGCACGTCTTTCAGCAGAAACAAAGGGTAAAGCTTCAGTCTCAGCCTCGCATTCGCTGTGATAGCATTGTGCATGTTTAACAACATGCACAATGCTTGGTTTTCCATTATTTCTTATGGGGAAAATTCGATCAGAACTCCAGCTTTTTAGGATTCGAATCTGAGCTCTGAACGAATTAACTTTGAGTTCTGAGATACCACTGTATTTTATTTATGCTTCCATTTCATATCATTATCATTTATTTATTGCCACATTTCATAATTTTTTTATTAATGCACATTTATATGGTTCTGCTAACTTGATGAATACTGATCAAGTTTCAGTATTAGTGACAATATCAACCTAGATTGACACACTGGACCAATGCGACATCATGAGCGCATGTTCTTGTTCCCCATGGTTCCCTTACCTGCAGAACCTGGAGTTGCTTCTCTGACACACTGACGTCCCAATGAAGGTCCTCGGGACTGTTTTGCTCATCTAGGTGTATGGTGTACATAAACTCCTTGTTGTGCTCCTCCACCTGAGGGGACAGGCCGCTCTGCTCTAACATCATCTACTCCAATCGCTCCCTAAAACACCACTAAAACAGCAAAAGTCCTACTAAGTCATTTTGGGTTCAATTCACTCTAATTCGTACCAAATATCATGTCTACATTTCAGGGTTGTGTATCTCTCAGATGTTAAAAGCATATTGATACATGGTCTAAGGTACAATACAAAATATAGATATATTTAAACACCATAATTTGATACTCTTCGATTCAGCAATGACTTGATATTGAATTCCATTCAAACATGACTGAGTGAGAAGCCAGAAGGAGTCGGACGTGTCCCCTTGTGTCGGAGGTGCCCGCGTCGGACGTGTCCCCGTGTGTCGGAGGTGCCCGCGTCGGACGTGTCCCCGTGTGTCGGAGGTGCCCGCGTTGGACGTGTCCCTGTGTGTCGGAGCCACTCAGGTTACGATCGTTAATGTCCTTTCAGACTCACTTGAGGGACAGTGACCGTCCATTGACCATCTCTCCACAGCTCATTCAACAGGTTGTGCATCATATTCTCCTGGTCACTGCTGAGAAGAGGAAAGTCTTCCTGCAAGAGCCAGAGGATGAAAGCCAGGTGACAACCATAGACTTGAGCTGCAGGCTCTGGAGAGCTTTTTTCTCTCCTGAGAAAGACAGGATGGCAGGTGGCTTACACTGATAGAGCTGCACAAGCTGTCATCGTCCTCTTCATCTGACAGATTCGGAAGCTCCACAGCCCGGAAGCTTGGCCCAGTCTCTGCCTCTTTGTTCTTTCCTTTGAATTTTTTGGTTTTCTTAAAGAACTTCCCAATGAACCTCTTAAGTTTCTTCCCAGGGGACATCTTGATCGTTTTTCCTGGTGAATGAGACAATATTCATGCATCGGCTTGAACCCTACACACATGTTTATGCATGACCCATAGAAAGCAGGCTATGCCTGCTGCTGTAATACAGGCCCCAGCGTGCTCCTTTGAAGAGAAGAGAGGTCTACACCTTTTCTATTAGCTTTATTGTCACTGTTGTCTGTGGTTCCTGTGGAACCTGTTGTCTGGAATCTGCAAATATCAAAGGAAACGAGGCATATAACTTCAGCAATAAAATCAGAAGACCAGGCTTCATCACTGCCCCCCACTTCATCATCTTCTTTCTTGTGCATGCAAAGCGAGGATGAAGGGGCTCTCATCTCTCACCCTCTGTCATCTTCTGGCTGTGCCATTGCTGTCCGCTCATCCTCGGGCTCCTCTGTGGAGCTGCAGGGAGATACAATATCCAGATAATGCACCACCAGTTGGTTCAGCGTGTCCGGGTCTGAGAGCCATGTCACCAGCTGCAGCAGCACTGTGGAAGGGTCAACAGCACAAAGTGTTTAATCACAGCGAGTCTCTATTAAGGTCTTCAACCCTTTAAACAAATGTGGAGAACTAGCCATCAGTCTAAGATCCAGGCCTAGTCCAAGGCTGTCAGGATTCAGGAACAACCATCAGTCAAGGAGACAAGTACAAATCCCCATGGCTGACCTTTGAAGGCCACAATCTCCTTCAAGACACATCTGTAGAGGTCCAGCTTCCACGTGGATTCAGGAAGGAAGTTCTGCACCAGAGCTTCAGAACACACCCTGAGGAAGGCCACCTCATTCTCCCAAGAGCTGAACAACAGCTCCCTGAAACACACATATTAAGAAAGGGAAAGAAATCATTTATATGACGAAAGTATCTTTTTCAACATGCTGTCCCAATGAAAACCAGATCAAACCTAAAGAACAAAGGAACCCTGTTCTTATAAAGAAATCTGGAGAAAAGGCATGATTTTCCATACAAGCCTGGCTCCATCTTCTGAGCACATGTAGCCAAGTACCTGTAATCACTCATACTCATACACATTCAGTTACAGGATCATGTTTGACTATGGTGACTTTTGGTGAAGTCTACTGTTCCCATTTCATAAATGGTCCATTTTCCTTTAGTTAAAGGTCTCTGGTCCCTACTTGCTATCTCCATCTGGAGGACCTGATTCAGCACAGTATGCGAAACACAAAAATGCCATCCCAGTGAAAAAACAGCCAAAGAACAGCAGCAGTGAAGATCATGAATGTCTCAGCTATACATGAACTCAAAATAGAGGCACACAGCCCTCCATACACACAAAGACCAAGTGAAACCCCTGTTGCCAAGGAAACAGTCCCACCTCCTTGCCTCCTTCATGTCGTGGAGATGCCTGGTGAGGATGTGAATGCAACCAGTGCTGACAGCATCGATGTCCAGGGCACAGACAGTCCCCATGATGCAGTCAGTGGCCAGATCAAGCTCCTGCCACAAGGCTTTATAAAGAGGCTGTTTGTCCATGGGCCCTGGGACCTCTGGGGCGGACAGGTACTGGGCGTATGCACAGGAAAACACTGCAACAGTACAGACACTCCTCGTTTAGGACAGAATGCAATGACATAAGGAGACACTAAAACTACAGTCATCTTGCAAACAAGAACAACACAGACAGACCACAAATACATTACACCTCCTAAACAGACAGACACTATATATCCCACACACAAAACAGACATCATAAACAGAGACGTTACACATCCCACACACAAAACAGACATCATAAACAGAGACGTTACACATCCCACACACAACACAGACATCATAAACAGAGATGTTACACATCCAACCAA